CTCTCTCTCTCTCTCTCTCTCTCTCTCTCTCTCTCTCTCTCTCTCTCTCTCTCTCTCTCTCTATATCTCTCTCTATCTATCTCTCTCATACCACAAATGCGCCATAAATGGCAGATTATAGCAGGATTACTTCTTTTAACGTAACACGCATAGCGAAGATTAAATGATTCTTCGCGCGAAAAACGCGCGCGCGCGTCTATGACGGTTTCAGTGTAAAGTCGGTTTTAAAGTAATGCAATATGTATGTACTACGGCTTAAATAAACACTAGTTTTTCAGCAAACTGAGGCTTCAGCCTTAGCCTCCTTTTATTCATAAAATATTCGTAGTCTCTAAAGTTTGCTTCACACAATGAGGATGCGCTCAAAATCGCGTAAAGAACATCTGCCAACTTTTACAACCAACATAGTTCAAAGCGCCAAATCCAATGTCACATGGCCCAACCCTTAGCTGGAACATTCTTGCGAGCACGTATTGTACAACTGCTCTAAATCTAATGGTATAAATTGAAATGCAGCGATGAGCGAATTCAGTTTCTATGAAAGTTATCGTATGAACGTGGTTTTTGTGCATTTTTTTGCGATTGCAAGCACAAGTTTAAAAGTGCGTACCATACAGCTATTTTTAAAGGTACGTACCGTACGTATTTCTCATCTTAGAGTAGTTCTATAAGCGCTACGAATTCGTTTAAATAGCGATAATTTTTAATGATTAAAAGTTTTAAATTAAGACTGGGTCTGTAAACAATATCGGTTACACTTATGTTATGAACTAATGTTCCGAACATAAGTATTACCGGCCTTCTTCCGGCCTCAAATCCTTTGGAACAAGTTGATCCTCTATCAATTTTGAGATGGATCGATTATTATAAATTATTCGACGCATAGTGGCAGCTCCATTCATTAAGCATTCATTAAGCATTCGGAATTCAGAGGAAAATGAAATAGCTGCATTCTGTAAAACGTAATATCTCTATAAAGTTACTTTGTATAGTACAAATTTGTAACACAATTATATATCATAATAGTTTACACTGTTGTATTATTTAATCAATGTAGCGCGTTTGAAATAGAAAAACAAATTATTTATAACATACCATACACCACATCAAAAAATCTATAAAACCTCGTTTAAGTTTAACTCTACTTATATCTGTTAAAAATTATATCACATTATATAATGTTTAAATTTTGATATAATTATAAATAAAAATTGTTGTTAACCTAAAGAAAATCACCTGACTTTCTGCGATTATTTAAATATTATCTAAATATTTCCCAATAAACAACTCTCTTTACTTTTAGTTCATAACCATTAGTCTATTTACGATAGCTAACGTTAGCTTAGTTCACGATATAGTCATCTTGACAAACCTACAGAAGAACCTGCAGCAGGAGGAGGAAGGTCAAAATTCCAGGTCCTAATTTTACACCAAATCCCAAAACCGGCTCATCTGAAAATATGTAGATTAAATCTCTGAATTCTTTGGGTAAATGTGGAGTTACTTTTGTTTGTACTTTATTTTTAATCTAAAGTTTTATCGGGTGTTAACATTGGAATATTCATACTGATGACTGGTCACCCAAGAAGTGTCCAGAAATATATTACCCAGTACAGTGAGAGTCATAGAATGAGATAAAGTTTCGTTCAGTTCACGAGACAGCTCTACGGTTATCACTCCTGATTGTTCCACTTTCAGGTCTACAAGTTTCAGTGTGTACGTTGTGATGTAGGTTGCTGGGTCAAAAGATTCCTCAATGAATATAGTGGCCCTGATAATGAATGGAATTTAATTTCTCCAAGAGTAACAATGATAAGACTCAATAAAATATATTTTAAGGTAGTACCCTGGAATCTGGATATAGCAATATCAAAAACTAGGCAGTAATGAAATATAATGTATCATGTTATTTTGAGTTTAAAATTTTAAGTGCAATTTGATTACAATTCGATCCAATTTAACATTGAATTTCATTACCATGATTACGGACAAAACTTACTTATTATCCACAAGGTCAGTGTCATCAAGCTTCCAAGTTACTCTCTCTGGAACCGGCTTAGCAATCACATGTACATCTAAATTCAGTTCCTCACCCTTGTTTAACTTCTGATCTTCAACAAAGGTTTCGGTAAATGTCATCGGAACTGAAATGTTATAACTTTATAAGTTTACTAGGATGCCTGTGGTCACAGGGAGGAGGCTAATAGTATTAATTGGTAGTCAGTTTTTTCGCATAAAAAAATATCCGTCAAAACTGAAGATACAACCGATCAAAATGTAACTTGCACTGAACACAATACGTAATTACCACAAGACCGATCAAAATGACGTTCCAACAATCATTTCAGTGCGGCATTTTTGGCACATCTACCGCTATTTTCGCAGCACATTGGAAATATAAGATATACTTTTTGATGTCACGACGATAATTTGCGTTTTGAAGTTGTATACCATTAACTCATTAACCTATCAAACTTTACAATTAAAAATGGTGTGTTTACGCACCATTTTTGCGTTACGTCACGATATCGGAGAGCTTGGAACAGCAACTTTGTAAGCCATGCAAATTAGAACGTATCAATATACCCCAATTATTTTGCAAAAGTGAGGAGTGAGGAGTGAGGAGTGAGGAGTGAGGAGTGAGGAGTGAGGAGTGAGGAGTGAGGAGTGAGGAGTGAGGAGTGAGGAGTGAGGAGTGAGGAGTGAGGAGTGAGGAGTGAGGAGTGAGGAGTGAGGAGTCAAGCACAGCAAGATCAAAGTGTTTGCAGATGACTCGAAGCTCCACAAAGATATATCTTCCCATATCGATCGCATCCTTCTCCAAGAAGATCTTCTCTCGGTTGTGAATTGGGCTGATGCTAACAACATGGAGCTTAACGAGGAAAAGTTCCAGCTTCTAAAACACGGCAAACTACCAGACTTGAAGCAGCCCTACATCCTACCATCTGGAGAGACCCTTAAGGGCTCTGACCACGTGAAGGACCTGGTTGTCTATATCGACCCAGACCTCAACTGGCGCACTCACATAGCGATGAAGTCTGCCAAAGCCAGAAACATGGCTAGCTGGGTGCTACGCACCTTCATCTCCAGGGATGTAGCGACCATGATGCTCCTGTACAAGTCCTACGTACGATCTCATCTGGAATACTGCTGTCCTCTGTGGTCTCCTCACATGCAGTGCGAAATTATCAAACTCGAAGCAGTTCAACGATCCTTCACTGCTAAAATCCAGGGTCTTGGAAGTCTCAACTACTGGGAACGCCTCCGTCGCCTGTCTATCTACTCCCTTCAGAGGCGGCGTGAGGGATACACTATCATCCTAGTTTGGAAGATCTATAACAATCTCGCTCCAAACAGTATGAACATCAATTTCCGCGAGACCTCACGATACGGAACTACGTGTATACGACCACTAGGGTCCTCCAAGTACACTAGTGTCAATAACCTGAGGTTCAACTCCTTTGCCTCTAGAGCCTCTGCACTGTACAACGTGGTCCCTCCTAGCATCAAGTCCCTCCTAACCTTGACCACTTTCAAACCTGCTCTTGATGCTTTCCTCAATGAATTCCCTGACACTCCACCAACACCTGGGTACACTGGACAGAACAGGAACTCAATGCTGGAGTGGGCCGGTGGCACATGTCTCTGACGTGCTACTACTTGGCGGTGGAGATGCAAGACATTCTTGGCCTGGTAGCACTCTAGCTCGGAACCCAACCCAAGTAACCCAAGTAAGTAAGTAAGTAAGTGAGGAGTGAGGAGTGAGGAGTGAGGAGTGAGGAGTGAGGAGTGAGGAGTGAGGAGTGAGGAGTGAGGAGTGAGGAGTGAGGAGTGAGGAGTGAGGAGTGAGGAGTGAGGAGTGAGGAGTGAGGAGTGAGGAGTGAGGAGTGAGGAGTGAGGAGTGAGGAGTGAGGAGTGAGGAGTGAGGAGTGAGGAGTGAGGAGTGAGGAGTGAGGAGTGAGGAGTGAGGAGTGAGGAGTGAGGAGTGAGGAGTGAGGAGTGAGGAGTGAGGAGTGAGGACATACAATAATTGCATTTCATTTACAGGAATTTCTTTCGAGCATCTGTGATGGGACCTCATAAACGTATAGTAATACCAATTTGAATTATTGTATATATCAAATTTGCTTGTTGACGTCAGTATTTTTAGGAAGCAACAGCTTACTCCATGTGCAGTCATTACATCAAAAAACATCCATCTCAACCCAAGATATAGTAGTAGTAGTAAATCTTTCAAAGTACGAAATATCTCTTTAAAAGAGCATCCTAGGCACCTTATAGATATCAAAACGCATAAAAAAGAAAACAAAAAACATCAACCATCTTCTAACTTCTTCCACTCCTCCCTATCTAAAGCTAAAAATCTAAGGTCTTCGAAATCAGTCAAATTCTTAAGTCTAATATCAAGATTTCTACTAGTCAAGTCTTTTCTAATAACATCTAATAAGTTTAAACATGGTCTACCCCGTCTCCCTTCCATAAAAATATCAGAATTTATAGCAAATAACATAGAGGTGTATGCTGGTGAGTCTTCCTGTCCTCTTAAGATATGTCCTAACATTCTCCATCGAAACTTAGAGACTCTCACAGACAAGGGAGTGACATAACAACGAGCATAGAGTGCCTCATTAGAAATAACCCCAGTAGGCCATCTGATGTTGAGGATTCTTCGGAGGTGTTTGCGATGAGCAATATCAAGTTCATTCAACGAAGCTAGTGGTGCAGCCAAGATATAGCCGAAGTAACCATGGTAACAAGGATTGTAATTCAAAATATCATGTCCGTATGTACGTCCGCCCACGTGCAAATTAGGTAAAAAGCAAAAGTTTGCATAGTAACCTAAACCATGGTAACGGTGTTGAAACGCGCATGGGCACGTGCAAAGATTTGCGAGCGACATTTTGATCGGCTTTGTGGTAACTTGGTTTTGTTCAGTGCGAGACATTTTAATCGGCTGCATCTTTTGTTGTAATGAAGCGTTTAGTTCTAGTCTCTACTGTAATTCAAAGAATACTGTACACTGTACGACCGCCCACGTGCAAATTAGATGAAAAATAGGAATTTAGGTAACAACCAAAAGGTTACATAGCAACGGTGTTTTAATGCACACATGCACGTACAAAGATTGTTTTAACGTCATTTTGATCGGTTTTGTGGTAATTACGTTGTGTTTAAAGTGTTTTATATTTAAATCGGCTGTATCTTCGGTTGAGAATTGAGATGGATATTTTTTGATGCGATTAAAACTTTCTTTCAAAGAATACTACTAGCTTCGTCCCTGTTACCACGGGCTTTCTAGTTATAAATAAAATAAGTCTGAACTCTATAGGATCATAAAGTCCGGCAAAACTTTACCAGAACTGACCATCATTAATTCACTTTTCTGTCCATAATTTCAGGATCAGAATTGTAATTTGTATCTCACCTCTGATTTCAACGGGGTGACTAGGCATTATCGGTCCTTGGAAAATATGGAACTGTTCACCTTTCAGATCACTTGATACTTCAACGAATCTCTTCCGTCTGCTTTTTGTGCACAAGTCTGTACAGCCAAAACTGAAAGTGTTGATGAATTACGAATGAAGTCATAAAGCCGTAGTACTAGTACATACTTATTACTATATTACATTGCGATGAAACCTAGCCAGGAATTCTTACTGGCTGGGTCCCAACTTCAAAAGTAAAAGAGCTAGCGCCTTCCGGTTTTTTGAAAAATGTTCGTTTTGTAAAATAACGTTTCCTCCACAAGAGGAAAATTTGGGACATTGTACATTGTAGATTTTGAGTTATCTCAAAATCTCCGGAAAAGTCTCATTTTGGGCCGATCAAAAGTTTGCAACTTTAACTTTGCGGATTCCTGTCGTCTGATTGGCTAAATTGTGTCACGTGCTGGCTGCTTGAAGATTGGAATGCGCCACGCGTGCAAATCACTTAATGTCGTGCGAGAGCTCAAGTTGATAAATGTTATTGTTACTCATCTAAATTTCTTCGAAGTAGCGCACGCCGTTTTTTTCTCGACCATTAACGATGGTCAAGAGCTCGAGCCGTCTGTTTGAATAACAATAACCAGTAGGGTTTGCTGGGTACATTGCAATGAAAACTGCGATAAAATACTGCGTCTATATAAAATTAAATGTATGCTCGTATTATAAATGCGCGGCATTTAATCGCAGTTTTCATCTCAATGTAGGTTTCATTACAATGTAATATGTATGTACTACGGCTTTAGTATTAATACTTTCAACACTACTATATAAGTATATAACAAATAATTTGAGGTGACACTCCTGTGGATGGCCCTCAAAGGTAGTTGAGTCTTCAGCAGATCACCCTGGAATACGTCGTATCATTTGTTTGATGACACTTAACTATCTTATGATAATTAAATAATTGATGAATTATGCACATATTTTAAAGCTTAAAAATAAAGTTGCTACACGTTGTATACCTCTCGTGCACGCGAAGCGTGCACGCCGGCCGGCCTTTTTGCGGCAGGCCGCGCGCGCTTCACGCGCTCTCAAAAGGGGTTACAGCGTGTGTCAAGCTTAAAGCTAACTTCCCAGGAAATCAAAAAGGTTCTAATTAAATTCTAAATTATTTTATTTTAACGGAAGAAAATTAAATTAGGAAGGCCCAACTTGAATATTCTTTAAACAGAAGGTTTCTGAATGTGTTAAGTTTTACAAAAAGATCGCTCAACTTCACTTAATGAAGATGCCTGCCCATGCCTGCATATAGCTCAATGAATATAATCAATATAAATAATGACATCATAATACTATTACCTGTTATCCGAAAGACTACAGACTTTTATAACAGCGTGAATGTAAATTGGAGTCTGGCTGTCCAAAAAGCTAAAAGCTTTAAAAATAAATCGTTTAGATTTGGGGTCGGAAAGAGGCTGCAAATTCGAGTCTGTTTCAATAAAATTGAAGGTGGAGTCCACGATGCACCTGAAATGAATTTAAATTAATTAAAACCTAAAGGTAACAACATATTTATCTAGCTATATGGAACTTAAATTCGCTTCGTTAATATTTCACCTTAAAAAAAGCTTTGAAATTGTGGATATAAGCAATAGTTTCGTGCTAGTGCTACTGATATAAGCAATATCATCGTTATCACTATTTTAACTCAGTCACGCTCACTACTGTGTGATATGAATACTATTTATGGCACGTTGAGACAGCAATAATCCAATCAGCTTCCAGCGTTGACCCAATAAAATTAAACATGTTTCACCTCCCCCTAGCGGGGGCGGTCGTATGGCCACCGGACTTCCACCTCCCCACTATAATACCAATTAAAGAACTAACCCTTCCTTCACCAAGTCGTAGGACAAGTTTCCATCCTCCTCGGTTTCACTGTCCTTTGCCTGTATTCGGACCACACCCAGAGACTGGTCTGGATCTAATGAATCCAGCGTGACCTGGTTATGTGTTTTAGTTTATCAAAGCTATTCTTCTAAGTGCTTAAGTGGTCACTAAACACTTATACAACCGTTGGGAATATAATATGTTGCTATAAAGTGGTAAAAAAGAATCGAAATTTGATTCTATCCTAATTTTCACATCCCAATCAGGGACAAAACTAGTTAATAACCATGGTAACTAGTTAGTAACCATGGTAACTAGTTAGTAACCATGGTAACTGTTACTGTTTATTTTATTCCATCCTAATTAACACATCCCAATCAGGGACATAAGAAAATCGCGATTATTTTGGCCAGAAATCGCGATACGGCGACAAGCCAAACAGACGACATATAAAATTTATCACAAAGAATGAGAAAAATCGTGATCCACATGCCGTGATACTGATTTCCTTTTGTCCCTGATCCCAATCAACTCCTAAATTGATTTAAAGTCTTTAAATTTCAGATGATACTGGCGATGAGTATTACAAATCAGTAGATTAAATATTTCAGACAAGACCTGCATGTTGATGTTAGCGTTAAGGGTTAACTGAAATGGAAAGTTGACCACTTTGTTGGCATATGTTGCGTCCTCGTAGATATCTAGAAGGAAACGTAGCGAACCTTCACCCGTCACTCTTTCCACAATGGCTGCACCCTTTACCTCCCAAGATGCATACTCGGTAGCACCTGAAAAAAGTGTCTATGATTGTGGTTAAAGTTTTTCTTTTTAAAGTTTTTGCTTTTTTTCTTTATAAATCTAACTTTCGATCCGACAAAACTGCTCCGTCAAACTATCTTTTATCGTTTAAAACCTAAATTGCAATTTGAATTGTGTTTAAAAATAAAGGTATATTTACAATTATAGTTCATAGACAATAAAAAATTGTTGAAATTAGATTAATTTCCATGCTATTTCACCTGTTCTATTGAATGAGCACTCAAATGCTATCTTAAGTTCTCCTCCTCTGGTTATACCGTTACTGTAATCAATTTTGCTGGAAATTCCTGTCATCTGAAAAATTAATTTATAAGAAAATTTACAAGGAAAAAACGTAATTCTTAAGACTTGATTTATAATCTTTTTAAAATTTATAATGTATTTATTCTACCACCCGTCTCTTCAGCTCAATCGAAATTCAACGACCAAAATCTGCTAATAACTAACAAATATAACGGTAAATGAAGAGCATCTTACTTGGTTTTTGTAAATGACATGACTGTTATTATAAGATACCGTCGTACCGCATTTTTCTAAATCTGTTCTGATTTCTTGAGAGTCTCCCTTAAACTCACAATCTGTAATGAAGTATTGACAACGTGATTTACGGTATAAGAATTCTATCAGATATTCAAAAAATAGAAGCAAACAAACTCTAAAAATTATCAAATAAAATACCTTTGTCGTTGAGCAATATTGTATCAAAACTGATTTTCTCGGTAACGAACAACTTTATTCCGTATTCATCACAAGTGACGGTAGCCACTGAAAAAAAAGTAAATTATCACAGACATAAGTATCCCTGTTGGTAAATATGCAGTCACAAATTTGGAAAATATTTCTCAATGTACATTGATCTATACCAAATGTAAAAGTGTCATAACATTTAACAAGTACTGAGGATAACCCGATTGAACTTTATTCCTTATCAATGATAATTTCATTTGGAAACCATAATATCTCTAAGTCATATTTAGTAGATTAACCTGGTGGACAAGATGGGGATTCAGATAGGGTACCGTTAGTGCACACCATCGAGGACGGTCCAATTATGACAAACCCGCTGTCGCACCTTATTTCGTATGTTGAGCCTGAATCAATCGTCGAATATGGAGATATGATGCCTTGTTCGATAACGGGTATGCTACAAGGTGCTGAAAGGGAAAATATGATTAAAAGGGTAACAAAATGCTTTCTCAGTTCAAAGTATTTTAGATAAATACACTTTGTAGCGACTTACTCATGAATCAAAAATAAAATCTAATTTTACAATCCACATTTTGAGGACAACGAAAGATTCTTTATTACGAGACACCGTCAAAGTTATTTTTATGTGAGCTCAAACATCTTCAAGGGCGAATCAAGCTATTCCAGTTGTACGCTTACTGCAACGTATAAGAATACTATTAGCTAAAAGGGAATCAAAATATTATGGAAACAAGACCATACACAAATAATTGTCCTTAAACTTTTGCAGAACATTATTCTTTATTAAATCACCTAGAACGTTGACCACAACTCCATGGGTAGATACAGGTGAGTTTGGGTACTGTGTTGATGTTACCGAGCACTTGTATGTGAATGTTGACTGGTTAGCAAAATCAGCAAGCTTGGTAGCCTTGATGGTGAGTTCTGCCACCTGTATGCCGGTTCCATCGACTGTACCGTTGCTGACATAGTAGTTCGTAATATCCGAGACAGATACAGCCGTACCATCAGGAGCCTTCCAGACTACATTAACAGGGGTTCCACCTACGTCTAGTTCTCCTACTGTACAGGTCAATGTCTGATCCTTACTAGTAATGACTGACTTAGTCACTGACGCTACAGCTGAAAGATGTATATGTTAATAAATCATTTTAAACTTTGGAAGATGGCTATAAAGTTACTCATGTTTTCAAGTGTTTTTTGCCTACCCCAGAGATAGACAGAGCATCTCAATACTATCCTCTCGTGGGCTATCTAGGCCCAACCTCTCTTAAAAAAGAAAAAAAAGCCTCAATTAAGAAAGATTTCTGCTGCAAAATTCGAATAAGACCTCGTTATACACATTGTGGTTCTCAAAATGTATCAAGATTACTCACTGAAAACGTTCGAGTTGACATCAGTCTTTTCTGATGTTGTTGCATGCTCGTCAGATGTAATGACACAGGTGAAAACAGCATCAACCGTGTTTTCACCAGCAGGTACGGTCAGAATTGTAGTTTGAATGTTGGTGGTAGGATCGTAAGTTCCAAGCTCAATAGCATAGCCGTCAGCACCACCGTCATCACCACCGTCAGCACCACCATCAGCACCACCATCAGCACCACCGTCAGCACCACCGTCAGCACCACCGTCAGCACTACCGTCAGCACCACCGTCAGCACCACCGTCAGCACCACCGTCAGCACCACCGTCAGCACCACCGTCAGCACCACCGTCAGCACCACCGTCAGCACCACCGTCAGCACCACCGTCATCACCACCGTCAGCACCACCGTCAGCACCACCGTCAGCACCACCGTCAGCACCACCGTCAGCACCACCGCCAGCACCACCGTCAGTTATAGCATCACCCGAAGGTTTCTTCCATGTTACCGCCTCCAGCTGCTGACTCAAACCACTTACTACACAAGATATTGTAGCTTCTGTGTTTGTCAGCACTTCGCTACCCTTAGCTTTTACATCTGAAACAATCAGTCATTTAAAGTAAGCCCGTAATAAAAAATATCAACAGTATTGTACAGGAACTGAATCATTGAACTTTCTCAACTAAATTCACTGGATCCTATGATGAGTTTAATTTTGTTTTAACAGTATACTTGAGTATAAGTCAATTTGATTATTGGGACATATAATTTTACAAAGGATCACGTTTCGGTTCTAAATTATTTTAGGATTGTTGACATTTGTAAGATTGACATGTTTGATAATAATAATTGATAATAATTTAACAGTAGGATGTAACAAGTTATTTTAGATATAAAGTTAGAACAGCAGAGCATCATTTATGGGCAGTTTTAAATACCCACCAAGTCCTAAGAAACTTACCGAAAGTAAGGAAGTTGACAACAATGTCTTTGAAAGTAGATGTTGCTGAATTCGAATATTCTACATATTCCGCAGCACATTTGTATGTCACGGGCGATTCACCCGCAGCTGCAGCTACACTTGTAAGAGTGGCAACATCAATGGTCAGAGTTGATGTTTGAATTTTGGTACCAGAGTCAGCTGATCCCTGTGCGATGGTATACCCTCCACTACCACTTGTTATTTCAGCCCCAGCATTATCCTTCCACGACACAATGACATCTGTAACCACATCTCCGATATCACAAGTCAATGTCTGAGCCACAGCGGTGGTGGCTTTTTTAGGAGTAACTGGACCGACGGCTGAAATAATTTGATTCTTTCAAACTCACAAAATAAGATAACTTAAGATAACTCTCAGTTGTTATACTTTAGGAAAAAACAAACTGTTGTTTAGACAGCCCACTTTGAATGGACTGGTTGTGCAAAATATATAGGACAGGTTCAGCGCTTATGTTTGATGAAGAAAATGATCAATAAAACATTTAATAGAGCTACTGTTCAATTAACAGACCCGATCTTTTTAAAACAAATAAAAACTGATTGAATTACCTGGACAGCTTCGAGTGTTGCAACTCTGAGACTCTGAAACTGTTCCCGAACAACTTGCACCTCCGTGTGCAGGAGAAGGATTTGTACAAGTTCTCCTTCTTGTTTGTGTTCCCGATTCGCAACTCTTTGAACAGGTAGACCATGAGCCGTATGAAGTCCAACCTCCGTTCACTGAATAGGATGTTCGGGTCAATAAATCACAATATCTTTCTAACAGTATCTGTCGTGTTTCAGCTAAACAATTTTGAATGAAAACTACACTTAGAAAAGAAACAAACCGTTTATGACACAGCCCACTTTGAATAAACTAGTTGTGCAAAAGATATTTAGGCCAAGTTCAGCGCTTATGTTTATTTTAATGAGGATATGATCAATAAAACATTCAATAGAGCTACTATTTTATTAACATACCTGATCTTGTTAAAACAAATAAATACTGGTTGAATTACCTGGACAGCTATGGGTGTTGCAATTCTGACTATATGAAGATGATCCTGAACAATAAGCACCTCCGTGTGCAGGATAAGGATTGTTACAAGATCTGTATCTTGTTTGTGTTCCATATCCGCAACTCTTTGAACAGGTAGACCATGAGCCGTATGAATTCCAACCTCCGTTCACTGAATAGGATGTTCGGGTCAATAAATCACAATATCTTTCTAACAGTATCTGTCGTGTTTTTCGTTGCCCAAATTTTTGGGAATTAGGGATATTGGGGATATTGAATGATAAATAGCTTGTGAATACTTTAGACCATCAAAACTAACATGTCTACATCAATAAAAGGAGTTTTAAATTTTGGCCATTTTGTGAGGCATATTTTGGCCATTTTGTGAGGCGTGTAGCCATTTAAAGCATTTTTTTCTTCCTATATTAGTATATTGGACAATGTTCGTTTTGTTTGACGAATACTATTCTTTAAACATTTTCTGTCATACTGGTGCCAGAAGTTCTCACCAAAATGCAAACTTAGTTCAAAAATTTGAAAAAATAATTTCAGTGCTCAAAATTTCTACATAAACAGTCATATTTATGCCAGAAAATGTGGTCCTAGTTAATGATTTCACCACAGGAAGTGTTGCCACAAAACCTACCAGTCTTATACAAAAACATTAGTTAGCTAGCCATTCTGTGAGGCATATACCCGTATGTTTTCTTCTTAACGACTACCTTTTTTGCTTATTGTATTGAATTTTAAATCGTTTTGGATGCCTTCGAACGTTAATTTTAATTTCTATTCAAAATTATGTCCGTTCACACAATGTGAACGGACATAATTAAATAACGGTTAAATAACGTTAAATAAAACGTTCGGTTAACGTCCGGTTAAATAACGTTCAATTAGGTAGTTAAAATTAAATGGGGTAGGTGATGATAATTCATAGTTGGTTCGTGCGCACTTAACTTACTTTTAAAACATAACGCACTTAACGTACGAAAAAACTTAAAACGCACTTTTACCTACCCTCGCTGGGCCATTTGCGGTTTTTTCATTTTTGAATACACAGTTCAAAACATCAGACAGTGTTATTTCCAAGATTTCACATAAACTGTCATTGGTGAGCCTTACAGTAGCTATTTTTGGAATGCCAGTGTGCGTGAAACTATAAAATGTAAGAGAAATAAAATAAATGTAATTTATTCGCTATGTAATCTTTAAGAACGTTATTCATGTGTTTTAATTGTTTGTCTCTACAGTCTACAGAAAATGCTGGTGAATTTAACGGTAAACGTACTTAAACGCACTTTTAACGCACGAAATAATTCAAACGCACTTTACGTACTTTTCCCGAAAAATTGACGCACGAACCAACTATGGATGATATGATAGGAATAAATTCACGACTGCTGTCACTTGTCAGTAGTCATTAACTGTGTTACTGGTCCTTTTAATGTTATAAACATCAAAGTGCTTATATCTCGCAACAGAAGAATGAAAAGGATCACCAGCTAGGTAGGCTTCAGAAACTTTTGGTGAATTTTTTGTTGGGGACTGGCCCGAGGTACCAGCCAATGTTTACTCAAAAAATATATATAATATCAATGGTAATAAGAAATTCATCCCCGTGGGGCACATGCATAAATATAAAATGTAAAGGAAATCTCAAACTATTTAATTTAGACTCTACCGGTAAAGTATGCAATGAAGGTTGAATAATGACAATAAGATAAGGAAAGGGTTTTTTGCGAAAGTCTAACTCTAAATGCGATGTTTACCGCTAACCAGCGTAACCTATCAATAGCTAGCGCTAACTGGCGTTACTAATTGGTTACCTGTGTATAAGATAGGTATCCAGGACACGGACATTTTATCGCCACTGCGTTCGAGGATGATTGCTCTTCGCAGTGAGAACTTGTTGTTGGGCTGGGGTTCGTATGTGATACCTCCACAGTCTAGTGGAAGAACGTGGTATTTAATGCAATGTAAATTAAAATTTTACCAGATATTCTGTATTATATCTTTTGTATTTTTAATTTCAAGATAACCAATTAATTTTTAATTTATTAACAGCAAGTGTGAACTGACCAGATCGTTTGAGACATTCGCTCTGAGCTTCCAGAAGACTATCGTACTTGGCCGTTCCTGCACTGTAGTCGCGTAGAAATGTAGCAGAGTCCTTGATCCAATAAGTAACTGGAATTAACAATCATATAAATATTACCTGGCTCAACAATCCCTGGGTGCAGTTAGGTGAGTGTTTGTTTGTTTGTTTGTAGTACCCGCCCCAATCTCGTATCGATTGGGCGACATCTGTCCGACAGCGACATCTGTCCGACAGCGACATCTGGCCGACTCAGAAAATAGGTTATTCGGACAATAGTTTATGTCGGATCCTACCGTACGATTTTCTTGAAACTTTCCATAAAGTATGGTGGTTATAGGACAAATAATCTGTGTAAGTTTGAGCGAGTTTCTAAATGCCAAATTTGAGATATCACCTTAAACACAAAAAAATCTCCAATTCGGTGGTTTGCAGCGGTTCCAAGGCATATATCTGGAGATCCAACGATACGATTTTCTTGAAACTTTATAGATTGTAAGATAGCTTTAAGACAAATAATTTATGCAAGTTTGTGATAATTTCTGTGTGCCCAATTTGAGATATCACTTCAAACACAAGAAAATAGTGCTGTCGGACAGAGGTCGCAGTCGGACAAATGTTGTGTTACCCTTAGAGACAGAGCGAAATCTGGTCACATAGAGAACTAAGTCTGGTCACGTAGAGAACTAAGTCTGGTCAAGTATAGAACTAAGTCTAATCACATAGAGAACTAAGTTTGGTCACGTAGAGAACTAAGTTTGGTCACGTAGAGAACTAAGTTTGGTCACGTAGAGAACTAAGTTTGGTCACGTAGAGAACTTAGTCTGGTCATGTAGAGAACTAAGTCTGGTCACGTAGAGAACTAAGTCTGGTCACGTAGAGAACTAAGTCTGTTCACGTAGAGAACTAAGTCTGGTCACGTAGAGAACTTAGTCTGGTCACGTAGAGAACTAAGTCTGGTCACGTAGAGAACTAAGTCTGGTCACGTAGAGAACTAAGTCTGGTCACGTAGAGAACTAAGTCTGGTCACGTAGAGAACTAAGTTTTTTTGTTGTTTGGGACTGGCCCGTGGTACCAGCCAATGTTTACTCAAAAAAAAATATCAATGGTAATAAGAAATTCATCCCCGTGGGGCACATGCATAAATATAAAATGTAAAAGAAATCTCAAACTATTTAATTTAGACTCTACCGGTAAAGTATGCAATGAAGGTTGAATAATGACAATAAGATAAGGAAAGGGTTTTTTTGCGAAAGTCTAACTCTAAATGCGATGTTTACCGCTAACCAGCGTTACCTATCAATAGCTAGCGCTAACTGGTGTTACTAATTGGTTACCTGTGTATAAGATAGGTATCCAGGAGATTTCACTGCCACTGCGTTCGAGGATGATTCCTCTTCGCAGTGTGAACTTGTTGTTATCAGGTTCGTATGTGATACCTCCACAGTCTAGTGGAAGAACGTGGTATTTAATGCAATGTAAATTAAAATTTTACCAGATATTCTGTATTATATCTTTTGTATTTTTAATTTCAAGATAACTAATTAATTTTTAATTTATTAACAGCAAGTGTGAACTGACCATATCGTTTGAGACATTCGCTCTGAGCTTTCAGAAGAGTGTCGTACTTGGCCGTTCCTGCGCTGTAGTCGCGTAAAAATCTACCAGAGTGCTTGATCCAAGTAACTGGAATTAACAATCATATAAATATTACCTGGCTCAACAATCCCTGGGTGCGGTTAGGTGAGTGTTTGTTTGTTTGTTTGTAGTACCCGTCCCAATCTCGTATCAATTGGGCGACATCTGTCCGACAGCGACATCTGGCCGACTCAGAAAATAGGTTATTCGGACAAAAGTTTATGTCTGATCGTACCGTACGATTTTCTTGAAACTTTCCATAAAGTATGGTGGTTATAGGACGGATAATTTGTGTAAGTTTGAGCGAGTTTCTAAGTGCCAAATTTGAGATATCACCTTATTATATAAACACAAAAAATATCTCCAATTCGGTGGTTTGCAGCGGTTCCAAGGCATATATCTGGAGATCTAACGATACGATTTTCTTAAAACTTTCTAGATAGTAAGATAACTTTAAGACAATCAATTTGTACAAGTTTGGGTGAATTTCTGTGTGCCAAATTTGAGATATCACTTCAAACACAAGAAAATAGTGCTGTTGGACAGATGTCGCTGTCGGACAGATGTCGTGTAACCCTTACAGACGGAGCGAAATCTGGTCACGTAGAGAACTAAGTCTGGTCACGTAGAGAACTAAGTCTGGTCACGTAGAGAACTAAGTCTGGTCACGTAAAGAACTAAGTCTGGTCACGTAGAGAACTAAGTCTGGTCACGTAGAGAACTAAGTCTGGTCAAGTAGAGAACTAAGTCTGGTCACGTAGAGAACTAAGTCTGGTCACGTAGAGAACTAAGTCTGGTCACGTAGAGAATTAAGTCCGGTCACGTAGAGAACTAAGTCTGGTCATGTAGAGAACTAAGTCTGGTCATGTAGAGAACTAAGTCTGGTCACGTAGAGAACTAAGTCTGGTCACGTAGAGAACTAAGTCTGGTCACGTAGAGAACTAAGTCTGGTCACGTATATAACTAAGTCTGGTCACGTAGAGAACTAAGTCTGGTCACGTAGAGAACTAAGTCTGGTCAAGTAGAGAACTAAGTCTGGTCACGTAGAGAACTAAGTCTGGTCAAGTAGAGAACTAAGTCTGGTCACGTAGAGAACTAAGTCTGGTCACGTATATAACTAAGTCTGGTCACGTAGAGAACTAAGTCTGGTCACGTAGAGAACTAAGTCTGGTCACGTAGAGAACTAAGTCTGGTCACGTAGAGAACTAAGTTTGGTCACGTAGAGAACTAAGTCTGGTCAAATAGAGAACTAAGTCTGGTCACGTAGAGAACTAAGTCTGGTCACGTAAAGAACTAAGTTTGGTCACGGTTTGGTGCTCCACTCTTTAAATCCTTCTACTATTTCCTTAATTGTGCTAAAGTAGTATTATGACTTACTTGTGTCTTCACTTCTATTTTATCCACACTCTACCATTCTCCTCAATTATTTTTTCTCTACAGCTGGTAACCTCTGCTTTTAACTTCTAAATCTAATTCTAATTAAGCTTTTCCTCGTGAAGATCGAATATGTACATGGTGCAACATTATCTTCAGCGCCAATATTGTCGAAAATGAAGAACATCTCTTAAACCACTGTGATATTAACGCTGTCGCTAGACGGAACATCCTAAATAAGATTAACATGGTGGCATCGAAGTCGAGCGTCAGCACCCTAAACTCAACAATTCACACCATATTTCCTGATACAAACCTACTACCTAGTCAAGCTCATCTCCAATCATAATGGTTTCTTTACATCACTGACTTACGAGTGCCAGATAAATCTTTCGAGAATTGTCGCCAGGTACATTACCAACTGTTTCAACAACCGTAAAAAGTTCTTGGAGTCAATAAACGTCGATTCTTGTAGTAACACGTAACGAACGTTCCGCGCGCCATAAACGTACATCTACAACATTTTTTAACACTATTCTTCGAGCGCCGTTGCCTACAAAACTACACTCATCGAGCAATGGTACCCTATGCAAATGGCGATATAACAAAGTTTATCAAATAAAAGATTTAATATAGTCAAATTCTATTTATATTTGTGAATATTATTATTACCATTATGGAGGGGAGCGAGTTATAATACTATAACTTTATATGAAACTTACCACTGTGAGCAGAAGAGAAGAGTAGGTGAAGCATTAATAAGAGAAATATAGACATTGTTCTGTAGAAAAATATATTTAAATTAGCTCCAATTTCACAAAGCAGCTTTAAAATTATACGATTCACGTACACTGCTTGTATTTTGCAGGGGACAGGGACAGGGACAGGGACAGGGACAGGGACAGGGACAGGGACAGGGACAGGGACAGGGACAGGGACAGGGACAGGGACAGGGACAGGGACAGGGACAGGGACAGGGACAGGGACAGGGACAGGGACAGGGACAGGGACAGGGACAGGGACAGGGACAGGGACAGGGACAGGGACAGGGACAGGGACAGGGACAGGGACAGGGACAGGGACAGGGACAGGGACAGGGACAGGGACAGGGACAGGGACAGGGACGTAATGAATTGATATATTATTAAAGCAAACAAAATTGATAAAATATGATTGAAGCAATAAATGAATCGAAAAATGATTAAAGCAAAAAATGAGTCAATAAATAGAGTTTGAATATGCAAAAGTATTAAGTTTTGGTTGATTATCCTCCTACGCTTGCAGAGTTGCAGATTATCCTCCTACGTCAGGATCCTCCTACGTCAGGATTCTCCTACGTCAGGATTCTTTAACAATGATCTTGAACTACGTACAGCATTGAGTGATGTAAAAATGCAAAAGCTTGTAGTTTTGGGTAGTGATTGTAGTCAATAAAGACACCGGGCCGCGGTTATTGAAATTATACTAAAAATAAAACTGGGTGTCAAAGATCTTCAAGGTGGGTGCTACTTGTGATGAACTTTAGAAGGATGGGATGGTAATACTCGGTCTGGCCGTCTGGAAGCCCATAGAATTCCAGTTCAGAAACCGAGTAAGGAGGTACGGCTACTGATGAGACAGAGAAGCCTCCTTAAAGTTTATTTGGGTTAGAAACGACATCTGGGTCCCTACCGTACCCTCTCACAAGACTATTTTCAATTTTCTTGTTGTGTTCCACAAATATATGATGAAATTCATATTGATATTCATATAGTCCGTTGAATTGTTTAATCCGTTTAATACTATGTATTGGTAAAGACTGTTATAAAACATTATTCACCACAAAATTCAAAAATGTTGTAACGTTGTTCCAAATCAATATAAACTAGGAAAACCCTCACATGCTTCCTAGACGGCTGACCACTTCTCCTCTTTTAGAGAAACATACATGGGAACCTATGCATGGTAGAGCACAAGCGCTTGTCCTATGTGCGGCGTCGAAGAGGAAACTGTCTCACACTTCCTTGGACATTTTCCGGCTATTGCTCAAATTAGAGGTCAATATTTCCAGGACTACTACCTCTCTGTCAATGACATATTCGACAACCAACACATCACCACGATTATCAATTTCGCAAACCGCACCAAACGCTTAACTGTGCCGGAAGAGCTGGATCAGACCGGGGTGACTTAGAGTGCTATAAGCTCATTTGCTGTCTCGTCTCGTTTTACTCTTCCAAACCCAGCTGGCACTTAAGCGTAACATTTTGACTCATGTCGCTCTTCACACCATCCTCCACCAGTCACTCTGATTTCACCGGCAACCTTTCACAGGGTTGCCACCACCCAGAGGTAGGCAGAGCATCTCAATGCTCTCCTCTCGTGGGCTATCTTGGCCATGCTTCTCTTTAAAAAATTGGTAGAGTACAGCAAGGCCGACCAAAATACTTATCTATGTTATTGAAGGAAGTTGGGACCAACTCTAAAGAGGAACTGCGAACCTTGATGCAGGACAAGGATATTTGGTGGCCGGGGTTATCTGGTGTAGAACTAGATCGGACTTAGTTCCGACATAGTAGTAGTAGTAGTATCAGCTGATTCGGACCGACCGCGGCCGCACTCATTCATTTAAAAAATTGTTTATTTTTATTTCCCGTACCTCACATTATGACTCACAGATCTTTGGTTGCCGAGCAGATTCGGAGCCAAAACTCATTCTCGAAGTCGATACGTACCTCTGAAAGCAGAGCTCCCGCTTCCGAGCTCGTATTGTGAAGGGGAGGCCTGCCTTCCGAGATCGCATTACAAAGGAGAACCCTCGAGTCCAAAATTTTTGGCTTAGAAACTTTTTCATCTCGGAATGTTTCGACTTTTTTGTAAAAAAATCCAAAAAAATGTTTTTCCCAAGAATGTTTTGAAACTTTAATTAAAAAGTTTGCCCTTTTTGGCCCCTTGCCTAGATTTCATGGGGGGCGAATTAATTATAATACTCACTAATGTTATGAATCTGATAATGGATAAAAATAATAATTGTGACGTGGTTCATCAGAATCTCATGATATCATGATCTGAGTTTAAAGACCTGCGTCAGAGCCTAGAAGTAGAGGTTCACTGGGACCGGGGGAGAGAAAGCCTTGTGCAAAATGATGATGATCTAACACTGTGGGTGGATATCTTTATAGCTACTAGCAGGAACCCGTCTACCCTAAAGTGGTGTCAAGACTCGAAAGACTAAAATAATTATTACCTATTTAATTCGTGTTTTTGACACCACTTGGGAGTCCAAATTTCGGGCACTAAAATTCTTATTCCTTGGCCAATTTTTTACTTTTTCATGCTGATTTGAAGGCCATTAAAGCATTTGACCCAGTCAAAAAAGTTTCAGTTGTATATCTTTTACGGTTTTTGCGGAAAGTCGCGTTAAAGTTGATGCCATGGTGTCAGTAAAATGGCATGGAACCATATATATCGTCTCGCTTTATATATAGTAAGATTGTGAATAACGTAACTCTTGTATAATATTAATATTAATAGCTGTGCAGCTGATAAGTGTCTGATGGAGGGTGAAGGGGTCTAAATCTAATAGTAATACAGCCGAAAGTTGTGTTATTTTCAATTTCAATTATCGATGACCGGACCAGCCAAAAATATATGAACCTCGAAAAATATTCGTGTTCATTTTTTTCAAATGAAGGTTCATTTTCGCATTTATTTGATAGTTTTAAATGGTCGGATCGAGCCAAATTTTATTGAATTGTGTTTGGACTTTGGCCATTCGAGTAACGTTTGTCCTGAAAAAATTAGAGTTGCAGCTTCTCAAATGACCGAGATACGACGCATAACGAGTTTATTCATTACGTGTGATGGCAGATGGGAATCGTCGAGGCTGCCCAATTAAGGTGTCTTGTCACAGTGTCACATAATTATAATCACCCAATCAATGTTACTAACGAGATACACAAAATGCTTGATATGGATTATGGGCGTGGTCTAAAATATTCGAATTTTCAAATTTTGGCGACGGAATCCTCGAACAAGTAGGTACAGTATTATATGCTATCTGCAATGCAACAACTCTCAAATATACCCCTTTATTATTTTACAGACATTAAGACTCATCGATAGTAGTCCAGCAGGTATATTAAAGATGACAGGAATAAGAAACAGTTATGTGGAGGTCTTTAAGATATTTGCGCAAAATACGCGGCAGCATGTTATAAGAAATCGGTAAAAATCCAAAATCGCCATATTCAGGTGCCTTATATTTATAAAAACTATGTTAAAATTGAGTTAGAGATCTGAAACTTTGCAGGGCGTCTAAACGTTGATCGAATCGATAGTAAAATAGTTTCAAGTTTCAGGAGTATCGGGAAGTGGGTTTTCTGGAACGGAACCCCTGTTTTACAACAGTATGTCGTGAAGTATATGTAACTATGAGTATGCAGTATCTATAGACGCTTTGGGCTTGGCAGTCAATCGTAGCCTACATTTAATACTTTTGTAGCCTACACTATTAATAATAGTGTAGGCTACAAAAGTAAAAAACAATACAGTCATCTCGAACCACTGGTCTTAAAATAATCGTTTACACTTCAGTTTACATTACATTTACAATTATATCAAAAAATAATTTAACCGCGTCATCATTACCACTTGATGACGTCATCGAATAAGGTGTTATTAAAACTTGATTTTTGACAAAGTATTAACTTTTCAAATCGATTTTACACCAGTAACAAATAAAGAGTAATTTTATTCAAAATCTAAGGACATTTTCACCTTAAATAATTGTTCAGGCATTCTGAAAATTTACCGGAAAATGTTCCCACCTGGCTCCTTCATAAAGATATTTGCTATTGAAGTTGGTGATTTTTTAAAGAATAATTTCATAATATGTAATAACACAAAAGTTATGAATTAGTATTTTCTGGTGTTGGGCCATTTCTTTGCCTTTGGGTTGTGGGGCTCAATTTTGCTTCCTAAAAGTAAAGGTCCTGTTGGTTAAAATATCAAATAATGGTTTTTTATTCATCATTCTTGGGGCGCTACGAAGCACAAAATGAAGGGGATGCCATTGTCAATTATTCAATTTGAAAAAGTTAAATGACCGGACACTGTAGCCTGCGCCTGTGTACCGTATAACTATATAGCCTGTGCAGTGATATGTAGTTAAAAGTTTGAAGAACAAAAGCCATGTGAAGGAATGGTATTGGTGGTTTACAAGTTTACATAAGTTGTTAGATTAAATAAAATGGTAGTCGTGAAATCCGTAGTAGGTAATGTAAGTCATAATAACATTTATGGTCCATTTCTATAACGAATCAATCAGTCGACTATCATGTTCAACATATGATTTCAGTACTTTGTCATCGACATTTATTGGTCATTCAGAAATTAACTCAGTAAAAACAGTGAAAATTTAGGTCATGGAAAGCTGAAATCTGAAAATGTCCTACTATACTGGTACTGGTAGGACATTCTCATAATTTCCCTTCTATCAAAGTTTTCTCCGGATATTCACTATTCGATCAAAACCGTGAAATTTCGGTTAATTTTTTTCCAGTCAAAATCATTAAATCAATGCATATTTTCTTTGAAAACAAATAATTGATAAATATTCAATAACTTACATATCAAATGGGGCAAACGAGTTCAGATAAAGTGATCAATAATCGAAAAGAAATCGACTGAAAAGTAAATCATGTCTCAAATTCTGAAAATTGAAATAATAAACACCAGTTACACAACCGAATTTAGCAAAGCTTGGAAATAATCCCCTTACTTACTTAGAAATGCCCAAAACCCAGATGTATGGTGCTCTACTTGTAGCTAGTAGTCTCCTGAACTCATATATGAAATTTTATCAAGATTGGACAAAAATGACTGAGTTATGAGCCAAAAACCATATGCCCATATTTGGGCATACGCACCAAATTTGGTAGATTTCGTCCCATAAATTGGTCAAATATCAATATTTTTGAATGAGACTTACAAGTCATATGAAAGGTTAGCCTAAACTTCATATTCTCTGTAATCAATAGCTTTTTTATCTAGACACTTATTTTACTTCGGAGTATTCCAACAGCCATATTGTTACACAAGTGCAACCAGCCAATTACAGGAAGCCGAAGGATTTGTTTTTAGCCAGTGACGGTTAAGGTAGTGTGTACCATACTTTCTTCGCCCGAGACTTTGCTGCAATGTGCAGCTCCTCATTTAACCCTCACACCCGATTTCTCGAGTATTCGGGTGAGTAGACCGGGGGGCTGCATAGACCACTCACGATCCTTAGCTGAATGTCAACGACACTCACCCCACGACCAGGCAGGCAGTGGGATTTGAACCCGCAACCTCACGATTGCAAAGCTCGCTAACCAACTGCGCTACCTGATAAACAGATACATTTATATCTGTTTAAATGTGGATACTAATATAAGGCGAAAAGACTACAAAAATTATTATTAACTAAATTGCCCGTATCTTGGTTTGCGATATTCGCGGAATAAATCTTATTAAAATTGTAACAACTCAATCAGTTTTCAAAATGTGTGCATGAAATTTTCGGAATCGACTTGAAATCGCATTTCTACCTTATTTTGAGAACTGATTATTGATTTAGGCCTCCAACAAAAATTGGCGGCCAAATTCTGAATTTTGCTGAGCAAATTTTGGAATTTGGCCGCCAAATTTTTTTGGAGGCCTAAATCAAAAATGGGTTTTGGGCAAGTTCGGCCTAATTTGGACCAAATATGGGCGTGGCTGCCCCGCAGGCACCGTTTGGCGGTTGGGGTCCGGGACCCCCTCAAAAGTTCGGTCACTGGTCCTAGTTGGTTGGTCAACTGCTATCTCGAAATCAAGTTTCACAAAAAATACCCATTGTCCCCCCCCCCCCCCCCCCCCCCCTTGAGAAAAAGAGTGAGCTCACAAAATTAAAATTAAAAATGTAAGCGCTCCCAAAATAACAAGCATTTCACAAAAAATGAAATAATTATAAAACAAAGTCGCAACGAAAGAAAAATAACCCCATTCCTTGATAACTTTAAAATAGACATCGCAAAATCTCAATAAACTTGGAATTCTGCTAGTATAATCACCACATCCACTTGAATAATTAAACTTCAAAATCATGAGTTAGTACACCTCAACACTGTCTGAGAATCTACTCTGTCTTTTCTTTGTCATCTAAGCAGTCCTTAGTAAGATCAGTCAAGGTGGTCGTTGCAATTCCATTATCACGTGGGATATCATCCACATCTAGTTCAGTGGCACGTGTCATGAGTTCTTGTATATCCTTGTCTACTCCCATGCTGCTGTCATAATACATGTCCATCTCCCTCCTGAACAGCCTCAATACTAACAATCCTGGGGAAATGGGTTTTAATATGGTTAATTTCATAACATTTTCAATATTAATTATTACTCATATTCTGCAGACTGCAGAGTACTTATAAAGTTATATAATATAAATTATCAGATTCATCTAAAGAGAAAGTCGACCTTCTAAGAACAGGTAACATAGAAAACACAGTATTTTGCCCACCAGCAACAAGAAAGAGGCCCACTATAGGATAGCTGATATTCTCTCTATCAAAACTAAAGTACTTCCTAGGACCCTTCTTGCGAGTTTCCTTAGTGGACTCATCTCTCTTCTTGGGTTCCTTCAGGAAACCGTTACTTTCCCTCCACTCTGGGTGAGAAGTTGTTAGTTAGTCAGTTAGTTAGTTTGTTAGATTGTTTGTTAGTTAGTTTATTAGTTTGTTTGTTAGTTTGTGGTGACTGACGCATACCATTTATTAAATTTAAATTAATAATAATACATTTTTTTTGTTACAATGAAAGGACAAAAACAGAACACGAGGATAATTAAGTGACTAAGATAAAATGTATTAGTCAAACAAGCAACTTTATTAATTAAAAACAAACACATATTTAAAAATTCAATAATTCAAACAAGCAACTTTATTGATAAAAACACACCTTTAAAAATTTGATAATTCAAACAAGCAACTTTATCGATTAAAAACAAACGTACCTATATTAAAAATTTTAATAATTCAAACAAGTAAATTTAATTGTTTATAAATGAAACTTTATAAGTTTAACAAGCAAATTCATTTAAATAATTGTACAAGTTATGAAAATATATTAAAAAGATAGATATTAAAAAGTGAAAACACTTGATTAAAAACAATATATACATGATAGAGTCATTATAGCGTATAAATATACTATAGAATATCGCTGTGAATTCTAGCAGGGAGGTGCAGTGAAGCATATACACGTGAGGCATTGACACGTGACTGCAATAAACCAATCAGCTTCTAAAAAATACGACTCACCTCCCCACAAAAATCGACGTGTATCAAATCACAAACAATTCATCCAATATCACATCAAAACAGAGTCGAGCCAAAGACCTCCAAGGTAACTGACAATTTTAGCTACATTCTTAAAACAAATAATTATAGGTTGCTGATCTAACTTGACCTTTATATCTCGCAAGCTGGAATCTTTGAAGTTATTGGCAATAATTAAAAAGAAGTCCCTTATCTCATAAAGCCACAGTTTAAGTAAAACAAAAACGTGTTGAACGTCTTTTTTAACGTCAGACAGATGAATTGGAGTTACATCCATTTTAGATGGGACACTTGGCAAACCTCCAACTTCTGAAAATTACAGTGTTACTGTATCCATGGTTACTGTATCCATCAACTAGAACACATATCTTGTTATGGACAACAATATTCCGTGTTCTATACGAACAGTAACACTGTAATTTCCACGAGTCCATTATAAAGTGCTTACCTTTAAGTTGGGTTAGAGAGACAGGAGGCATGTAGGGAATGTAGTGGGTGGGGGGACTGTAGGGGGGGGGGCTGTAGGGGGGGGGGGACTGTAGGGGGGGGGGGGGCTGTAGGGGGGGGGGGCTGTAGGGGGGGGGGACTGTAGGGGGGACTGTAGGGGGGGGGGGGACTGTAGGGGGGGGGGACTGTAGTGCTTACCTTTAAGTTGGGTTAGAGAGACAGGAGGCATGTAGGGAATGTAGTGGGTGGGGGGACTGTAGGGGGGGACTGTAGGGGGGGACTGTAGGGGGGGGGGGGGACTGTAGGGGGGGGGGACTGTAGGGTGGGGGGACTGTAGGGGGGGGGACTGTAGGGAATGTAGTGGGTGGGGGGACTGTAGGGGGGGGACTGTAGGGGGGGGACTGTAGGGGGGGGGACTGTAGTGCTTACCTTTAAGTTGGGTTAGAGAGACAGGAGGCATGTAGGGAATGTAGTGGGGGGGGGGACTGTAGGGGGGGGGGGGGGACTGTAGTGCTTACCTTTAAGTTGGGTTAGAGAGACAGGAGGCATGTAGGGAATGTAGTGGGGGGGGACTGTAGGGGGGGGGGGGACTGTAGTGGGGGGGGGGGGGGACTGTAGGGGGGGGGGGTACTGTAGTGCTTACCTTTAAGTTGGGTTAGAGAGACAGGAGGCATGTAGGGAATGTAGTGGGTGGGGGGACTGTAGGGGGGGGACTGTAGGGGGGGGGGACTGTAGTGCTTACCTTTAAGTTGGGTTAGAGAGACAGGAGGCATGTAGGGAATGTAGTGGGGGGGGGGGGGGGGGACTGTAGGGGGGGGGGACTGTAGTGCTTACCTTTAAGTTGGGTTAGAGAGACAGGAGGCATGTAGGGAATGTAGTGGGGGGGGACTGTAGGGGGGGGGGACTGTAGGGGGGGGGGGACTGTAGTGCTTACCTTTAAGTTGGGTTAGAGAGACAGGAGGCATGTAGGGAATGTAGTGGGTGGGGGGACTGTAGGGGGGGGGGGGGACTGTAGGGGGGGGGGGGACTGTAGGGGGGGGGGACTGTAGTGCTTACCTTTAAGTTGGGTTAGAGAGACAGGAGGCATGTAGGGAATGTAGTGGGGGGGGACTGTAGGGGGGGGGGGGACTGTAGTGTTTACCTTTAAGTTGGGTTAGAGAGACAGGAGGCATGTAGGGAATGTAGTGGGTGGGGGACTGTAGGGGGGGGGACTGTAGTGTTTACCTTTAAGTTGGGTTAGAGAGACAGGAGGCATGTAGGGAATGTAGTGGGGGGGGACTGTAGGGGGGGGGACTGTAGTGCTTACCTTTAAGTTGGGTTAGAGAGACAGGAAGCATGCGCATGTAGGGAATGTAGTGGGTGGGGGGACTGTTGGGGGGGACTGTAGGGGGGGACTGTAGGGGGGGACTGTAGGGGGGGGGGGACTGTAGTGCTTACCTTTAAGTTGGGTTCGAGAGACAGGAGGCATGTAGGGAATGTAGTGGGGGGGGGGGGGACTGTAGGGGGGGGGGGACTGTAGGGGGGGGGGGGGGACTGTAGTGCTTACCTTTAAGTTGGGTTAGAGAGACAGGAGGCATGTAGGGAATGTAGTGGGGGGGGGGACTGTAGGGGGGGGACTGTAGTGTTTACCTTTAAGTTGGGTTAGAGAGACAGGAGGCATGTAGGGAATGTAGTGGGGGGGGGGGGGACTGTAGTGCTTACCTTTAAGTTGGGTTAGAGAGACAGGAAGCATGCGCATGTAGGGAATGTAGTGGGTGGGGGGACTGTTGGGGGGGACTGTAGGGGGGGGACTGTAGGGGGGGGGACTGTAGGGGGGGGGGGACTGTAGTGCTTACCTTTAAGTTGGGTTAGAGAGACAGGAGGCATGTAGGGAATGTAGTGGGGGGGGGGGGACTGTAGGGGGGGACTGTAGTGCTAACCTTTAAGTTGGGTTAGAGAGACAGGAGGCATGTAGGGAATGTAGTGGGGGGGGACTGTAGGGGGGGGGGGACTGTAGGGGGGGGACTGTAGTGCTTACCTTTAAGTTGGGTTAGAGAGACAGGAGGCATGTAGGGAATGTAGTGGGGGGGGGACTGTAGGGGGGGACTGTAGTGCTAACCTTTAAGTTGGGTTAGAGAGACAGTTGGGTTAGAGAGACAGGAGGCATGTAGGGAATGTAGTGGGTGGGGGGACTGTAGGGGGGGACTGTAGGGGGGGGGACTGTAGGGGGGGGGGGACTGTAGGGGGGGGGGGACTGTAGGGGGGGGGACTGTAGGGGAGACTGTAGGGGGGGGGGGGACTGTAGGGCGGGGGACTGTAGAGCGGGGGACTGTAGGGTGGGGGACTGTAGGGGGGGGGACTGTAGTGCTTACCTTTAAGTTGGGTTAGAGAGACAGGAGGCATGTAGGGAATGTAGTGGGTGGGGACTGTTGGGGGGGGGGGGCTGTAGGGGAGACTGTAGGGGGGGGACTGTAGGGGGGGGGGACTGTAGGGGGGACTGTAGGGGGGGGGGGGACTGTAGGGGGGGGACTGTAGTGATTACCTTTAATTAAGTTGGGTTAGAGAGACAGGAGGCATGTAGGGAATGTAGTGGGGGGACTGTAGGGGGGGGGGACTGTAGGGGGGGGACTGTAGTGCTTACCTTTAAGTTGGGTTAGAGAGACAGGAGGCATGTAGGGAATGTAGTGGGTGGGGGGACTGTAGGGGGGGACTGTAGGGGGGTGGACTGTAGTGGGGGGGGACTGTAGGGGGGGGGGGACTGTAGGGGGGACTGTAGGGTGGGGGACTGTAGGGGGGGGGGACTGTAGTGGGGGGGGGACTGTAGTGCTTACCTTTAAGTTGGGTTAGAAAGACAGGAGGCATGTAGGGAATGTAGTGGGTGGGGGGACTGTAGGGGGGGGACTGTAGGGGGGGGGGGGACTGTAGTGCTAACCTTTAAGTTGGGTTAGAGAGACAGGAGGCATGTAGGGAATGTAGTGGGTGGGGGGACTGTAGGGGGGGGACTGTAGGGGGGGGACTGTAGGGGGGGGGGACTGTAGGGGGGGGGGGACTGTAGGGGAGACTGTAGGGGGGGGGACTGTAGGGGGGGGGACTGTAGGGGGACTGTAGGGTGGGGGACTGTAGGGGGGGGACTGTAGTGCTTACCTTTAAGTTGGGTTAGAGAGACAGGAGGCATGTAGGGAATGTAGTGGGTGGGGACTGTTGGGGGGGGGGGACTGTAGGGGAGACTGTAGGGGGGGGGACTGTAGGGGGGGGGGACTGTAGGGGGGGACTGTAGGGGGGGGACTGTAGGGGGGGGGGGGACTGTAGTGATTACCTTAATTAAGTTGGGTTAGAGAGACAGGAGGCATGTAGGGAATGTAGTGGGGGGACTGTAGGGGGGGGGACTGTAGGGGGGGGGGGGACTGTAGTGCTTACCTTTAAGTTGGGTTAGAGAGACAGGAGGCATGTAGGGAATGTAGTGGGTGGGGGGACTGTAGGGGGGGACTGTAGGGGGGGGGACTGTAGTGGGGGGGGACTGTAGGGCGGGGGACTGTAGAGCGGGGGACTGTAGGGTGGGGGACTGTAGGGGGGGGGGGGGACTGTAGTGGGGGGGGGACTGTAGTGCTTACCTTTAAGTTGGGTTAGAAAGACAGGAGGCATGTAGGGAATGTAGTGGGTGGGGGGACTGTAGGGGGGGGGGGGGGACTGTAGTGGGGGGGGGGGACTGTAGGGGGGGGGGGGACTGTAGGGGGGACTGTAGGGTGGGGGACTGTAGGGGGGGGGGACTGTAGTGTTTACCTTTAAGTTGGGTTAGAGAGACAGGAGGCATGTAGGGAATGTAGTGTGTGGGGGGACTGTAGGGGGGGGGGACTGTAGGGGGGGACTGTAGGGGGGACTGTAGGGGGGGGGGACTGTAAGGGGGGGGGGGGGGGGGGCCGGGGGGACTGTAGGGGGGGGGACTGTAGTGTTTACCTTTAAGTTGGGTTAGAGAGACAGGAGGCATGTAGGGTTTAAGGTATTTTCTGTTCCACACAGCTGCATTCTCTGTGAGTAGGGGAGTGTATTGGTATCTGTAGTGTTGCGCTCTGATGTACCTGAGTGGGGTGTAACTACATGAGAGGTGACAGACAAGCTTGTATATTAGGGAACACAAAACTGTTGGATCACAAACTGAAATTATTTGTCGAACTAGAGTGCGCTACCTGGACTCTTGTTCGACACGTACCGAAGTTCGACAGGGCTGTCGAACTAGAGTGCGAATCTTGTCAGATACTGGTCACATATTATGTCGTCGGATCAATAGTAATTATTAATTTGTGTATTTCTTGTTATTGAACAATGGACCACTTTCTAAAACTTACTGGGCGGCGAGAGTACCTTTGATCTAGGCAAGATACTGGCCGTGGATCGATTAGTTTTAAGAATGAAAAATGAATTCCGATCATTTCCAAGTTCTTTTATATTCTTGTTTTATATATATTTGTCAGTGCAGTGGATACTATTTCTGCTCATTTTGGGTACGGACTTTTGTCAAATTCAAGCGTACTCCTTTTTATACCAACTTATAAAAATTTCACATTAAACGAACTTAAATCAAGATTCTAAATTGCCCTTGCAATAGCATCCTTATCTTAACCAATTTTCCGGCATTACCCAGACAACCGGATGAGATAAGGAGCAAATTATTATATAACATTGTTCATGAAATAATTTGTGTTGCACGGTGTATAATCAAAAGTACGGACTTTTGTCAAATTCAAGCTTACTCCATTTTACCAACTTATAAAAATTTCACATGAACTGAACTTAAATCAGGATTCTAAATTACGCGTACAATAGCATTACACATACGCGCTGACCTTCACAAACCCTTAATGCTAGGCAGGATCAATATTTTGAGGTAATGATTTGAGATCAGTATCACATCATTATGGGACATGAGCCCATATACGCGCCAAATATGAAATATGGGCGTGGCTCCACAGGGTTGGGACTCAACTAGCGGCGTTCGGTGATTTGAGTTACCAATGACCTATATAACCCGATTCAGCAGCAAAAAAACTTTATACATTGAAGTGCACACTCAACTCCTCCCTTCTGCGGGAGTATAATGCGCTATCACTGGATCTAAAAAACTAAGAATTTTGTTTGAATGCCCTTACGTAGGTAATGTAGCATTAGTGAAGGGGTCGTGGTCAATGAGCTTGCGGACCTCAGAGTTACTTACGTAGGTAATGTAGAATTAGTGAAGGGGTCGTGGTCAATGAGCTTGCGGACCTCAGAGTTACTTACGTAGGTAATGTAGAATTAGTGAAGGGGTCGTGGTCAATGAGCTTGCGGACCTCAGAGTTACTTACGTAGGTAATGTAGAATTAGTAAAGGGGTCGTGGTCAATGAGCTTGCGGACCTCAGAGTTACTTACGTAGGTAATGTAGAATTAGTGAAGGGGTCGTGGTCAATGAGCTTGCGGACCTCAGAGTTACTTACGTAGGTAATGTAGCATTAGTGAAGGGGTCGTGGTCAATGAGCTTGCGGACCTCAGAGTTACTTACGTAGGTAATGTAGTATTAGTGAAGGGGTCGTGGTCAATGAGCTTGCGGACCTCAGAGTTACTTACGTAGGTAATGTAGAATTAGTGAAGGGGTCGTGGTCAATGAGCTTGCGGACCTCAGAGTTACTTACGTAGGTAATGTAGTATTAGTGAAGGGGTCGTGGTCAATGAGCTTGCGGACCTCAGAGTTACTTAAGTAGGTAATGTAGCATTAGTGAAGGGGTCGTGGTCAATGAGCTTGCGGACCTCAGAGTTACTTACGTAGGTAATGTAGAATTAGTGAAGGGGTCGTGGTCAATGAGCTTGCGGACCTCAGAGTTACTTACGTAGGTAATGTAGCATTAGTGAAGGGGTCGTGGTCAATGAGCTTGCGGACCTTGACAGAGTTACTTACGTAGGTAATGTAGCATTAGTGAAGGGGTCGTGGTCAATGAGCTTGCGGACCTCAGAGTTACTTACGTAGGTAATGTAGAATTAGTGAAGGGGTCGTGGTCAATGAGCTTGCGGACCTCAGAGTTACTTATGTAGGTAATGTAGCATTAGTGAAGGGGTCGTGGTCAATGAGCTTGCGGACCTCAGAGTTACTTACGTAGGTAATGTAGCATTAGTGAAGGGGTCGTGGTCAATGAGCTTGCGGACCTCAGAGTTACTTATGTAGGTAATGTAGCATTAGTGAAGGGGTCGTGGTCAATGAGCTTGCGGACCTCAGAGTTACTTACGTAGGTAATGTAGCATTAGTGAAGGGGTCGTGGTCAATGAGCTTGCGGACCTCAGAGTTACTTACGTAGGTAATGTAGCATTAGTGAAGGGGTCGTGGTCAATGAGCTTGCGGACCACAGAGTTACTTACGTAGGTAATGTAGAATTAGTGAAGGGGTCGTGGTCAATGAGCTTGCGGACCTCAGAGTTACTTACGTAGGTAATGTAGAATTAGTGAAGGGGTCGTGGTCAATGAGCTTGCGGACCTCAGAGTTACTTACGTAGGTAATGTAGCATTAGTGAAGGGGTCGTGGTCAATGAGCTTGCGGACCTCAGAGTTACTTACGTAGGTAATGTAGCATTAGTAAAGGGGTCGTGGTCAATGAGCTTGCGGACCTCAGAGTTACTTACGTAGGTAATGTAGCATTAGTGAAGGGGTCGTGGTCAATGAGCTTGCGGACCTCAGAGTTACTTACGTAGGTAATGTAGCATTAGTGAAGGGGTCGTGGTCAATGAGCTTGCAGACCTCAGAGTTACTTATGTAGGTAATGTAGCATTAGTGAAGGGGTCGTGGTCAATGAGCTTACGGACCTCAGAGTTACTTACGTAGGTAATGTAGCATTAGTGAAGGGGTCGTGGTCAATGAGCTTGCGGACCTCAGAGTTACTTACGTAGGTAATGTAGCATTAGTGAAGGGGTCGTGGTCAATGAGCTTGCGGACCTCAGAGTTACTTACGTAGGTAATGTAGCATTAGTAAAGGGGTCGTGGTCAATGAGCTTGCGGACCTCAGAGTTACTTACGTAGGTAATGTAGCATTAGTGAAGGGGTCGTGGTCAATGAGCTTGCGGACCTCAGAGTTACTTACGTAGGTAATGTAGCATTAGTGAAGGGGTCGTGGTCAATGAGCTTGCGGACCTCAGAGTTACCCTCGAGTAACTTGGCGATCAGGTTGATGAACCATGGGTTCTGGTGGTATTGTTGGAACGCAGCGAACCACAGCAACCAGTCTAGCCGGTAGTGGTAGGGGGATATCAGACAGGGGCGCCGGTCTACTGAGCCTGGCTTACACTTAAACTCGTACTCCTGAAGTAAGTTCAGACTGGTAAGTTCAGACTGGTAAGTTCAGACTGGTAAGTTCAGACTGGTAAGTTCAGACTGGTAAGTTCAGACTGGTAAGTTCAGACTGGTAAGTTCAGACTGGTAAGTTCAGACTGGTAAGTTCAGACTGGTAAGTTCATACTGGTAAGTTCAGACTGGTAAGTTCAGACTGGTAAGTTCAGACTGGTAAGTTCAGACTGGTAAGTTCAGACTGGTAAGTTCAGACTGGTAAGTTCAGACTGGTAAGTTCAGACTGGTAAGTTCAGACTGGTAAGTTCAGACTGGTAAGTTCAGACTGGTAAGTTCAGACTGGTAAGTTCAGACTGGTAAGTTCAGACTGGTAAGTTCAGACTGGTAAGTTCAGACTGGTAAGTTCAGACTGGTAAGTTCAGACTGGTAAGTTCAGACTGGTAAGTTCAGACTGGTAAGTTCAGACTGGTAAGTTCAGACTGGTAAGTTCAGACTGGTAAGTTCAGACTGGTAAGTTCAGACTGGTAAGTTCAGACTGGTAAGTTCAGACTGGTAAGTTCAGACTGGTAAGTTCAGACTGGTAAGTTCCTGGTAGATTCCTGGTAAATTCCTGATAACTTCCAGGTCAGTTCCAGGTATAGAAATTGAATTAAATGGAAATAAAGGCAAAGCATTTGAATAAGGTCGAAATAATTTCGAAGTTCGTTTTTAAAAACAGGATTGATAATTCAACGCCAGAAATAAAGGCCGAAGCATTGTAAAGTGCAGGATTTTATTTATTTATTTGGGATGTGAGCTCTAGAAACTAAGCAATATTTCCACATACCACCCACTGAGTACTAGATGTTATAAATTCTTCTGATGTACCTTCTAGAATAACCTCCGTTCTTTCTTTTGTTATACTGAAGAATGAATATTGTAACAACCGCTAACGAGTACCACCTGTGAAATTGCTAAATCCATCCCGGGTAGAATAACCAATATTATCTACCTCAAGTAGAGATATAATGTAGATCAAATCAACATTTTGGGTTGAAACTTGGCACAGTACATTAACTTTCTACTATTTCCACATCACTAACCTGCCGAAAGCACCGTAAGTGTTAACGAGCCGGAAGGAATCAAAGGATGTGTTCATCTGCTGTCTGGAGGAGAGTAGGTTCTGGATAACAGGAACACTGAGGAACATCAGCAACACTCCCATTGATCCGTTCAGAACTGCTCGCTGATATCGGGCTGAAATAGTGACATAGTGAAATAGTGACAAAGTGAAATAGTGACATGTACCTTTGTTTATTTTATCTTAAAGCCTAGGATATTAGGTATTCATAAGAGTAACTATTATCTGAGTGAACAAATTTCGAAAGTTCTAAAACAATTAGAAAAACGATTAGAAAAATATATCCATATAAAGTTACCCGGTTTGTTTTGACACTTGACTGAAATTCGATCTGCCATGGCAACATAGTTCTGTGTAGTCTTAGAGAAAAATCGCAGCAAATATCCGTCATCGAAACAGAAGATTGAAGGCAGCATCGTTAGCCAGTTTAAGAAGGAGAAGTTTCCTGATGTAATAATTACCACCTGATGAAATAAAGATTACCAGAATTGAGAATCTAAGATAAACATTTGGTTGGAGGATGATCTATTCTACCTCTTTAAAAGTGTTTATATTAGGGTCTGGTTAAGTGTAATTTTAATTTCAGGTTGTAATACACTGTTTTAGGTTAAGAGGCGTCGTGAGACTAATATGGATCTGAGTCCAGTTACCATAGTAACAGCACGTCCAGTTACCATAGTAACAGCACGTCCAGTTACCATAGTAACAGCACGTCCAGTTACTATAGTAACAGCACGTCCAGTTACCATAGTAACAGCACGTCCAGTTACCATAGTAACAGCACGTCCAGTTACCATAGTAACAGCACGTCCAGTTACTATAGTAACAGCACGTCCAGTTACCATAGTAACAGCACGTCCAGTTACCATAGTAAGAGCACGTCCAGTTACCATAGTAACAGCACGTCCAGTTACCATAGTAACAGCACGTCCAGTTACCATAGTATAGTAACAGCACGTCCAGTTACCATAATAACAGCACGTCCAGTTACCATAGTAACAGCCCCAGTTACCATGTAGTAACAGCACGTCCAGTTACCATAGTAACAGCACGTCCAGTTACCATAGTAACAGCACGTCCAGTTACCATAGTAACAGCACGTCCAGTTACCATAGTAACAGCACGTCCAGTTACCATAGTAACAGCACGTCCAGTTACCATAGTTACAATACTCATGGATCTGAGAATATTCCCGTCTTTATAACTTCCACCCCGGGGTTTAACTTTAAGACTTGAAATAGCTCAAGGGACCCATCAGAAACAAATTTGGCTTGGGTAGAAATTTTGGCTATGGTGCAGTTTTGCGCAATTGACCACGCCCTTTTTTAGTGCTTTTGCGACTTTATAATCAAAATAACTCAGCTCCTAATTAGAGTTAGGAACTCAAATTGGCCTTAAATGTGTGCATAATTATCACATTTAGGGTGGTAGAGCATAATTTCATAGTCCTCCGACATCAGGTTGTTTAGTTTTTAGGCCGAAACCTATTTTTACGTTCTCGCGAGTAGCGATTACAGCGCTTAAAATCTAAATAACCCAGCTTCTGATTAGAGTTGGGAGCTAAACTTGGGCATGAAAGCGTTCAGAATCATCACATTAAGTAGACATGTTAATATTCAGGTAACCCTGAAATAATAATGGAAGATTTAATTTGGTTTATTTGATAATAAAACCATATTGTAAGATAAATTATGCGTATATTTCTTTCACTAGTGGGGTAACACGTTTTATCTATGTAATTATAATGAGTTATGAATTCATAATCATAAATCGGCAAGGCATGTTGGCTAAATTTAATAGGCATCATTAAGATAACCATAATTTGAGTGGGAATATTGCCGAAAAACCAAGTTGTAGAATCCAGCACTAATGAGACAGTGAAAGGAATTATATCCTAGATTTAAATTTTCCCCAGTAATAAATGCAGCAAATCGAATTAAAATGTGTACCCTTATCACTTATCAGTCACCGATGCAAATGAGTAATTAACGTTCATGAGAATTTGTTGAGTACTTATGTGCATGACCGGGGGGGGGGGGGGGGGGGGTGCAGGTACCCCCGGCATGACCCCGCAGTATTTAAACCCCCTTTATCCTCGTTGGGAGTAGCTCAGTAGCGTCTCAGTGTAGCTGTCTTTAAATCCAGTTACCATAGTAACAATACTCTTTAAGTGGTTTTTTACAATCGAAAAACAACTTTAGTTGATTTTTGGCGACACCGGAAAACTTATTAACCAAGATGTACACTTCGTAGATCTAACTCTAATACAAAATCTGACTGTCCGGCATAACCAAACAGTTATATCCACGGGCTTTAAAAATATAATCGACATTTCCGCTCATCCCTTCATCCAATGTTAATGACTTTAATATCTTAATTTATAAATAAGATATCTTAAATGTTGCATTATATTCAAGATTTCAGTGATTCCAGTCTTCTAAATACATGAACGACTGAGAGTTTTCATACCTAATTTTCATTTTAATATAGCCGTCACGATTTAACTCTATGTATCACAATATAGGTATAAAGAAACGAATTATGAAGCTGTTCGCATGCCTCTTCTGTCTTGCATCGATTGCAGGAGTGCAGAGCAGTGAATTTTTTGACGCCTACGAACAGCAGTACCTTGCTACGGTGGAGTTCATTAAAGAAACCATAACAGAAATCTTATCCGACGATGGAACAGATTTCCAGCCCCAAGTCAAGGAACTCATAACCCTAGTTGAGTCTCAGCTCTGTCCAGATGAAGACGCTGAAGATAATGCCGAGTGTGACTCTGGTTCCAACTGGCTGCTTGGATGCAAGTGCACGAGCGAGTTTGCTGGTCTTGAAGGTAACTGCAAGAACACGCCCTGCAAGATGATTCAACATTTCAAAGACAATGCACCCAAAGCAATGAGTGACTTCATGGCTGCTAACAGTTACGAGGAGATGATGACGGTGGTCATGAATGTTGTGGAGGAGATATGGAGGATTCTCTGTGAGTGTCGGGGTGTTGTTGATGCTGCCATCAGCTGTGCTCGTAATTACGACGGTCTAGTCTTCATCCTATCTAGTTATGATAGGACCAACTTCGACGAGATCGTGAACCACGTTGAATGGGAGACTGCGAGGGGAATAGTACACGGCTACCTTGATGCAATCTGCGGGGAAGAAAATGGCGAGGACTGTCCGGCAGTGCTGAGCAATTGGCAGGCAGGAAATGGAATCTTCTTTGACAACACCTTTAACGGAGTGGACACATGTATCTCTATGATCAGAGCTGAGAAGGAGACAAAAGCTTCTGTGGATGCTATGGTGTACGAAGAAGGCATGGACATGGAATCTTATATTGATGGGTGGGTGGATGCGTACATGAAGATGGAGGAGAAGTTAATATGTGATGCTGACTGTGCCGGGGAGATGCAGGAACTGATATACTCCAGTTGCTGTGTTAAAAGAGCAGCAGAGAGGTTGTCTACAGAGACCATGAAGACGAAGTACGTGAAGTTCTTCAAGAACATTTGGAGGTTCATCTACCCCGGAGAGGCTCCAGAACTGAAGAATGCCGTGAATAGGTTCATGGAGATGTACCGACCTGTCAGCTTCTGTGGAGCCAAAACAGATGTTTACAGGACGATGAACAAGCAGTGCAATGCTATCAAGGCTTAACCTCTCAGGACTGCATATGCTGATATAAAATATTCGAGTTTTAAAACTGTTTGTTAAACGATTTTATCATCTCTGTAAAATTTGGTAGAGTATTTATTTCAAGTTAAAAGCAAATCTAGCCAGTCTATTTCTTTTCCAGATAAAGTCGTGCCGATCAAATTGCCTTCAGTTCTTAGTTACCAATTGTAACGCACCCTTCTAGAGTTCTAATATAGGTGCTAATTTTATTAGAAAAATTCAGCCAAATTAAAAATTTTGACCCTTATCAGTCACCGATGATGCAAATGAGTAATTAACGTTCTTGAGAATTTGTTGAGTCATGTGTTATGTGCATGAGTTATGAGAATTTGTTGAGTACTTATGTGCATGACGTGTTACCATGTTTATAATGACCCCGCAGTATTTAACCCCCGCTTATCCTCGTTAGGAGTAGCTCAGTAGCGTCTCAGTGTAGCTGTCTTTAAGTCCAGTTACCATAGTAACAATACTCTTTAAGTGGTTTTTTACAATAAAAAAACAACTTTGGTTGCTTTCCGGCGACACCGGAAAACTTATTAACCAAGATGTACACTTCGTAGATCTAACTCTAATACAAAATCTGACTGTCCGGCATAACCAAACAGTTATATCCACGGGCTTTAAAAATATAATCGACATTTCCGCTCATCCCTTCATCAAATGTTAATGACTTTAATATCTTAATTTATAAATAAGATATCTTAAATGTTGCATTATATTCAAGATTTCAGTGATTCCAGTCTTCTAAATACATGAACGACTGAGAGTTTTCATACCTAATTTTCATTTTAATATAGCCGTCACGATTTAACTCTATGTATCACAATATAGGTATAAAGAAACGAATTATGAAGCTGTTCGCATGCCTCTTCTGTCTTGCATCAATTGCAGGGGTGCAGAGCAGTGAAGTTTTTGACGCCTACGAACAGCAGTACCTTGCTACGGTGGAGTTCATTAAAGAAACCATAACAGAAATCTTATCCGACGATGGAACAGATTTCCAGCCCCAAGTCAAGGAACTCATAACCCTAGTTGAGTCTCAGCTCTGTCCAGATGAAGACACTGAAGATAATGCCGAGTGTGACTCTGGTTCCAACTGGCTGCTTGGATGCAAGTGCACGAGCGAGTTTGCCGGTCTTGAAGGTAACTGCAAGAACACCCCCTGCAAGATGATTCAACATTTCAAAGACAATGCACCCAAAGCAATGAGTGACTTCATGGCTGCTAACAGTTACGAGGAGATGATGACGGTGGTCATGAATGTTGTGGACGAGATATGGAGGATTCTCTGTGAGTGTCGGGGTGTTGTCGATGCTACCATCAGCTGTGCTCGTAATTACGACGGTCTAGTCTTCATCCTATCTGGTTTTGATAGGACCAACTTCGACGAGATCGTGAACCACGTTGAATGGGAGACTGCGAGGGGAATAGTACACGGCTACCTTGATGCAGTCTGCGGGGAAGAAAATGGCGAGGACTGTCTGGCAGTGCTGAGCAATTGGAGGGCAGGAAATGGTATCTTCTTTGACAACACCTTTAACGGAGTGGACACATGTATCTCTATGATTCGAGCTGAGAAGGAGACAAAAGCGGAGACAAAAGCTTCCGTGTACGAAGAAGGCATGGACATGGAATCTTATATTGATGGGTGGGTGGATGCGCACATGAAGCTGGAGGAGAAGGTAATATGTGATGCTGACTGTGCCGGGGAGATGCAGGAACTGATGTACTCCAGTTGCTGTGTTAAAAGAGCAGGAGAGAGGTTGTCTACAGAGAGCATGAAGGGGAAGTACGTGAAGTTCTTCAAGAACATTTGGAGGTTCATCTACCCCGGAGAGGCTCCAGAACTGAAGAATGCCGTGAATAGGTTAATGCAGATGTTCCGACCTGCCAGCTTCTGTGGAGCCAAAACAGATGTCTACAGGGAGATGAACAAGAAGTGCAATGCTATCAAGGCTTAACCTCTCAGGACTGCATATGCTGATATCAAATATTCGAGTTTTAAAACTGTTTGTTAAACGATTTTATCATCTCTGTAAAATTTGGTAGAGTATTTATTTCAAGTTAAAAGCAAATCTAGCCAGTCTATTTCTTTTCCAGATAAAGTCGTGCCGATCAAATTGCCTTCAGTTCTTAGTTACCAATTGTAACGCACCCTTCTAGAGTTCTAATATAAGTGCTAATTTTATTAGAAAAATTCAGCAAAATTAAAAATTTTGACCCTTATCAGTCACCGATGATGCAAATGAGTAATTAACGTTCATAAGAATTTGTTTATTACTGCTACTTATGTGCATGACCATCTGTAATTATTCTCATCATTGCAATTGCCTTTCTTTCAGAAAGTGAAAGTTGCTGTTTAAGTATCTCAATCTCGTTTATAAACGTGATATAAAATTCGGAAAAAATTGCGAAGTAAAAAATTTAGCAGCCGATTCCACATAGTTGTAGTGAATACTTTTAACAACTTTTTTTTTTAATGTAAAAGTTTTTCTTACCTGGAAGAATATCTGAGCTGATCCAGCAAAGGCGGCAACTTGGCGATGTGGTATTAACAATAACCATGGTAACAATAGTTCTATTATGTGATTACCCATAGTTTCCACTTTATGCCACTGAAGAGTTTGGGTCAGAGTGGTCGTAATTTTAGTGTCGATAATAGTGACCTTACAGACATTAAAAAATAGCGACAAATCATAATGTTTTTCATCTTTGCAATAGTTTGAAATTCGGCTTTCCAAAGCAGTCCACAATTCTTCAAAATTCTCAAAACTCCACGAATAAAATGGACCATATGATGAGAATTGGCAGGGCGCCAGATATGATGAGAATTGGCAGGGAGCCAGATAATGAGAATTGGCAGGGCGCCATATAATTACCTCTGGAGGAGCGTGGTGTAGGAACCAGCTGAGAGGGTTGGGAACTGGCTGTGTTTCGTAGTGATAGTTCATACAGGTCAGATCGTGCCAGCATTTGTCACCTCTTATCTTAAAAAAATAAGGTACGTGGAATAGAATTAATCATTTCACAGAATCGGTAAAGTCTCAATACCCGAAAATTCCGGCTGGTTAAGAATCCATTTGACTCCAAATTTGACTACGTCTTGTGTGTTACAACTTACATTAACATTAAGAAATTCTTATCACCGCTTCAAAACAACGTACAGACTTCTGGATAGGTTCAAATTGGTTGCAATTGCCTCTATTATTTACAACTTATGGAGCAATGTATGGTCTATTGTACTTACTATTAGAGTAATTGGCCAAAAAGTAGTTCTGCTCGGAAGGAACACAACAATTTTCGTGTTTGGATAAAAGAATTCGGCTACTTTTGGGTGCTACTCATGGCGATTATCTAAAGTTTATGGAATATAAGAATTAGGCTACTTTTGGGTGCTACTCATAGTGATTATCTAAAGTTTATGGAATATAAGGTGAATGGCGATGATCTATCCAACATTGGTTTGAAATCAAGTCAACTGAAAATGATTGCTTTCAATCTAGTTGACCCAGAAACGTTCGAGAGAACATTTAGAAAATAAAATCTAAATTAAAAAACCAACAAATAAAACTGTGAGGAATAGTGTACATTACACTAGGAACCTTAATGAGCCCAGCACCGATCATGATTCTGAAGATGAGCCAGCGGTAGCCGTAGATACACAGGCGGGAAGTGGGCGTGTTGACAGGAAGTAACTGTATGCTGAATACCGGAACTAACCAGATAGCCAGGAACCCTGTCTCCAGCAGCTGAGACTCCCAACCTGTGGGAGGGAGTTAATATAGGGGGTAACCTAGTAACCTAGTAACCTAGTAACCCAGTAACCTAGTAATCTAGTAACCTAGTAACCTAGTAATCTAGTAATCTAGTAACCTAGTAACCTAGTAATCTAGTAACCTAGTAACTTAGTAACCTAGTAACTTAGTAACCTAGTAACTTAGTAACTTAGTAACCTAGTAACTTAGTAACCTAGTAACCTAGTAATCTAGTAACCTAGTAATCTAGTAACCTAGTAATCTAGTAACCTAGTAACCTAGTAATCTAGTAACCTAGTAACCTAGTAACCTAGTAACCTAGTAGCCTAGTAGCCTAGTAACCTAGTAACATAGTAACCTAGTAACCTAGTAACCCAGTAACCTAGAAATCTAGTAGCCTAGTAACCTAGTAACCTAGTAACCTAGTAACCTAGTAACCTAGTAACATAGTAACCTAGTAACCTAGTAACCTAGTTACCCAGTAACCTAGTAACCTAGTAACCTAGTTACCCAGTAACCTAGTAACCTAGTAACCTAGTAACCTAGTAACCTAGTTACTTGCTACTAAGTAACTAGTAAGTAGGGGGGGGGGGGCCAACGCCCCAAAAGGCCCCAAAAAGCCCAGATTTCTAGGGCCCTTTTTGGATTTTCGATATGTGTAGGGCCTTTTGGGGCCCTAGAATTAACTTCAATTTCATCAAGTTTGATATATGCTTTAAAGTGCTTTAATTATATTATCTGACTACTTGCACAGTACTTTTATGTTTATTTGAGTGTATTTACATGGAGATTATGGTCCATAAACACTATCAAATAGTGGTCAGGGTCAAAAGGCCCCAAAAAGCCCCGATTTCTAGGGCCCTTTTTGGATTTTCGATATGTGTGGGCCTTTTGGGCCCCCCCCCCCCCTAAGTAACTAGTTAATATAGGGGGAGGAGGTAACCTAGTACTTTAGTAACCTAGTAACCTAGTTACTTACTACTAAGTAAGTAGTAAGTAACTAGTTAATATAGGGGGAGACCGCTTCATTGGAAGATTGCTGTTTTTATCGACATTAACAGCATCGTTCAAAAAATTAAGATCGATAAATAACTGTAACCTTGTTCATAATTTGACGGGAGGTAAAAATTACAAGATAAGTCTCACGCAAATCTCACAGCTGTATCTACGTACCAAAAGCGTACCACTGCTGTCCAACGTTAACAATGGAATGGTATAGCCCCCACAGTGCCGCCATGATGAACATGTTGGCAGATCCTTGCAGGAACACTCCTATACTGAGCACTAGCCCTGTGAAATAGTGTTTTTTAATAATGGAACATTTCTCATTTCTCTCATGTCAGGCATGTTATTTTGTTCAAACTATTACAACCATTTTGGGCTATCTTATAAATATATAAAACCCTGATAGATTACAAATTACCTAGCTCCGCTATAACACAAGCTAAATTGTTAAACGATTAATTAACACCCGGGACACATGTTTTAGTTTTCACTCTCTTGAGAGGGTCGAATGATTACTGGGATGAAATGAGAGTGTCGGGAAATAACTAAAACTGACCTGTGTTGCTGATCAGCTGTAATGCTGTGTCAATGTGTTCTTCAGGTATGAACCAAAACAAGGTCGGAACTGCTAGAAAACTGTCTACTCTCGTTTGTCCGGGCCTGCAAGTAACAAAGTAAAGGTGAGCAGTTGTGGAACATAGGCTACTGTCCGGGCCTGCAAGTAACTAAGTAAAGGTGAGCCGGTGGTGGAACATTCTCCCGGCTCCAGTATCACAATTCGTAGGTAATACACGGTACCGAAGACAGAGAGAGAAAGAGAAAGAGAGAGAGAGAGAGAGAGAGAGAGAGAGAGAGAGAGAGAGAGAGAGAGAGAGAGAGAGAGAGAGAGAGAGAGAGAGAGAGAGAGAGAGAGAGAGAGAGAGAGAGAGAGAGAGAGAGAGAGAGAGAGAGAGAGAGAGAGAGAGAGAGAGAGAGAGAGAGAGAGAGAGAGAGAGAGAGAGAGAGAGAGAGAGAGAGAGAGAGAGAGAGAGAGAGAGAGAGAGAGAGAGAGAGAGAGAGAGAGAGAGAGAGAGAGAGAGAGAGAGAGAGAGAGAGAGAGAGAGAGAGAGAGAGAGAGAGAGAGAGAGAGAGAGAGAGAGAGAGAGAGAGAGAGAGAGAGAGAGAGAGAGAGAGAGAGAGAGAGAGAGGAGAGAGAGAGAGAGAGAGAGAGAGAGAGAGAGAGAGAGAGAGAGAGAGAGAGAGAGAGAGAGAGAGAGAGAGAGAGAGAGAGAGAGAGAGAGAAGAGAGAGAGAGAGAGAGAGAGAGAGAGAGAGAGAGAGAGAGAGAGAGAGAGAGAGAGAGAGAGAGAGAGAGAGAGAGAGAGAGAGAGAGAGAGAGAGAGAGAGAGAGAGAGAGAGAGAGAGAGAGAGAGAGAGAGAGAGAGAGAGAGAGAGAGAGAGAGAGAGAGAGAGAGAGAGAGAGAGAGAGAGAGAGAGAGAGAGAGAGAGAGAGAGAGAGAGAGAGAGAGAGAGAGAGAGATAGAGAGAGAGAGATAGAGAGATAGAGAGATAGAGAGAGAGACAGAGAGAGAGAGAGAGAGAGAGAGAGAGAGAGAGAGAGAGAGAGAGAGAGAGAGAGAGAGAGAGAGAGAGAGAGAGAGAGAGAGAGAGAGAGAGAGAGAGAGAGAGAGAGAGAGAGAGAGAGAAAGAGAGAGGGAGAAGACAGGTTGGATACAGGTTGGATACAGTGTGATTATAAAATATTTACGATACACATTTTGCTAAATATCACTCTAAATAGCCTAGTACGTGTGAATCTAACAGCGTATATGATCTACTACTACTACTACTACTAGTACTACAAGTATATCAATACATTAATACAGTACGTATAACGGAGGCCAGCTTGGTCCCGAGAAAAAAACTAGACGATCAGATGAAAATATACTCCGCAACACCAATTTTGTTAAAAGTAAGGAGGGGGGGGGGGTTGAAAAATTAATAAGACTTACTGGAGTTTGAAATATTAATAAGACTTACTGGAGTTTGAAGTGAGTTCTAAGTCTGTGCATGTTAATAAAACTTACTGGAGTTTGAAGTGAGTTCTAAGTCTGTGCATGTAAGCAGGAATTGGTAATATCCCATCAGCTCCCAACAGAGCTTTGTTCTGAAAAAGCGAAACAGAAAACGCCACACCTGTAAAAGTAAGGAGTTATGTTGCTATGGTGTTGCTATGGCTGGTGTAAGTAAGGAGTTGTGTTGCTATGGTGTTGCTATGACTGGTGTAAGTAAGGAGTTGTGTTGCTATGGTGTTGCTATGACTGGTGTAAGTAAGGAGTTATGTTGCTATGGTGTTGCTATGACTGGTGTAAGTAAGGAGTTGTGTTGCTATGGTGTTGCTATGACTGGTGTAAGTAAGGAGTTATGTTGCTATGGTGTTGCTATGACTGGTGTAAGTAAGGAGTTGTGTTGCTATGGTGTTGCTATGACTGGTGTAAGTAAGGAGTTGTGTTGCTATGGTGTTGCTATGGCTGGTGTAAGTAAGGAGTTATGTTGCTATGGTGTTGCTATGACTGGTGTTAAGTTCAGCATCTTACCGTGTTAAAGTACCAATAATATTCAACATAACTTCTATGTACCCTATGTAGCATAAGTAGTAAGTACTTACAATAAATAAAGGCGAGCGACCGTAAGAAAATAATTCTAGTCAACCAGAACCCTCGTAATTCCTGCGTTTTTTCCTCTGGTTCATTTTCTTTCTTCACCTCCGTAGCCATTCTAACTTTAGTGGAACAACATTAACTTCTTATCAGGAAATACTGGTTGGATGATCCGTGGTTTAAACATATTTTGGTATCTGTAAAAATCCGGTTTCTTAACAATGGAGGTTCAGTATAATATTAGAGATATATAGGAGATGTAAAATAAATAATACGGTGGGGTGGTAGTCTTCATAAATCAGTAGAATATGTTAAACTTACAGAATAGATTAATCAAAAGAGTGGGGTGATAGTGGGGTGGGGTGATAGTCTTCATAAATCAGTAGAATATGTTAAACTTACACAATAGATTAATCAAAAGGTGGGGTGATAGTCTTCATAAATCAGTAGAATATGTTAAACTTACACAATAGATTAATCAAAAGAGTGGGGTGATAGTCTTCATAAATCAGTAGAATATGTTAAACTTACACAATAGATTAATCAAAAGGTGGGGTGATAGTCTTCATAAATCAGTAGAATATGTTAAACTTACACAATAGATTAATCAAAAGAGTGGGGTGATAGTCTTCATAAATCAGTAGAATATGTTAAACTTACAGAATAGATTAATCAAAAGAGGTGGGGTGATAGTCTTCATAAATCAGTAGAATATGTTAAACTTACAGAATAGATTAATCAAAAGAGTCCTCTTTAAAGTTAAAATTATCTCAAAATTAAAGGTGTTTAATTTCTCAAGGGGTATAAAACAAATTTCAAGTCGTACGAGGTCAATGAGTAAGAAAATCCTCAATCAGATGTGGAATTCAAATTGGCCAGCAGCCAAGTGACAGTTGGCCAGCAGCCAAGTGACAGTTCTCTGAATTAGCATATTTGTTCGACATCACGTGAACTAATATTCGATAAGCAATGTGAACTATTCGCAAAATCTGTCTTTTTGTGTGTGTGTGTGTGTGTTTCACAAATCATAACACGGTAAATTCCCTGATACTCTAGTAGCAGGGTGTAGTTGAGTGTGCACTTCGATGTGTACTATTTCTGACAACACAGGGTTGTTTGTTAGGTCATTCTAAACCAAAATCGTTTAGGTGGACAATTTGTTTCGCTAGAGACAACCCTACAGGGCAAATTTTCTAAATTACCCTCAGTCGCGTATACGGGAATTTCGTATTTCGGCTCCTGAAGGTCATAGAGACTTAATTTTTAGCTTAAAATCACCGCAATGGCCACATTTATATACAACTTACTAATCAATATATGGTCTAAAATTGTTTGTTTCCGAGATATCTGCAAAAAACTAATTTTAAGTTCAGGCGTAGGCACAAATTTCATCAAATTTGTATCTCCGCTTCTGAAGGTCTTAGAGACTCAAACTTTGGCTTAAAATGACTGCAATGCACATGTTTATATTGACACTATAAAGGTCATAAAGGCCCAAAATGCTTACTTTTGGAAAAAATCCAGAAAAACTGATTTTCACTGGGGAAGTGAAAATATCTACTCTAGAAGCTAATTGAAATCGAGTATGCAGTTTGGTGTCTACAACTTTTCTAGAAACCAGGTCCTTTGTATGGTCATTCTGGATCAGAATTGATAAGGTACGCAATTTCTATCAGTAGTTCCAACCCTAGGGGGGAAATTTCTAAATTACCCTCAGGCGCAAATATATGACTTTTGTATCTCGGCTTCTGAACGTTGTAGGGGCCTCTCTTTTAGGGGCCTCTCTTTTAGCTCAAACTAACTGCAAAGGCCACATTTACATACAAGCTATAAAGCAACATAGGGTTTATAGTGCTTAGTTTTGGAGATATTCATTAAAAACTGTTTTAACTTTCGTGCATCCTAAAATAGTAACATCAAACGACAAATTGTACTTAATTTTGGTATCCCGGGCTAAAAAAGTCTTACAGGCACTTTACTTGCAGCACAGCAAAAGTTCAGCATGAACACATTCAGATAATATTTATGAAGCAACACAATTCAGTTTCAGAAGCTCCTTCAAGCTATCTTGTGTTATCCTTAAATGTATACGTCTAACCATCTCTCTGGTTACTATCATCTCGTTAAAGGCAAGGCTCGACCGGGACCGATTTTTTGGCCGGGACTGGGACTGGGAAAAAGTGCCAGGACCGGGATTAAGACCGGGACCGGAATTAAGGATCAGGATTAAGCCCAGATCCCGGTCTTAACATAAGTTGGGCTCTCTCCAGTACTTTTTGGCTATTATAGCTAATCAACTCCAATCCAACCTCATGTAGTAGAATCTACTTCTAGTTTCCTTCAATTCAGCTATCTCCATCTAAGTAAAGGTGAGCAGTTGTGGAACATAGGCTACTGTCCGGGCCTGCAAGTAACTAAGTAAAGGTGAGCAGTTGTGGAACATAGGCTACTGTCCGGGCCTGCAAGTAACTAAGTACAGGTGAGCAGTTGTGGAACATAGGCTACTGTCCGGGCCTGCAAGTAACTAAGTAAAGGTGAGCCAGTTGTGGAACATAGGCTACTGTCCGGGCCTGCAAGTAGCTAAGTAAAGGTGAGCAGTTGTGAAACATAGGCTACTGTCCGGGCCTGCAAGTAACTAAGTAAAGGTGAGCCAGTTGTGGAACATAGGCTACTGTCCGGGCCTGCAAGTAACTAAGTAAAGGTGAGCAGTTGTGAAACATAGGCTACTGTCCGGGCCTGCAAGTAACTAAGTAAAGGTAAGCAGTTGTGGAACATAGGCTACTGTCCGGGCCTGCAAGTAACTAAGTAAAGGTGAGCAGTTGTGGAACATAGGCTACTGTCCGGGCCTGCAAGTAACTAAGCAAAGGTGAGCCAGTGGTGGAACATAGGCTACTGTCCGGGCCTGCAAGTAACTAAGTTAAGGTGAGCAGTTGTGGAACATAGGCTACTGTCCGGGCCTGCAAGTAACTAAGTAAAGGTGAGCAGTTGTGGAACATAGGCTACTGTCCGGGCCTGCAAGTAACTAAGTAAAGGTGAGCAGTTGTGGAACATAGGCTACTGTCCGGGCCTGCAAGTAACTAAGTAAAGGTGAGCAGTTGTGGAACATAGGCTACTGTCCGGGCCTGCAAGTAACTAAGTAAAGGTGAGCAGTTGTGGAACATAGGCTACTGTCCGGGCCTGCAAGTAACTAAGTAAAGGTGAGCAGTTGTGGAACATAGGCTACTGTCCGGGCCTGCAAGTAACTAAGTAAAGGTGAGCAGTTGTGGAACATAGGCTACTGTCCGGGCCTGCAAGTAACTAAGTAAAGGTGAGCAGTTGTGGAACATAGGCTACTGTCCGGGCCTGCAAGTAACTAAGTAAAGGTGAGCCAGTGGTGGAACATTCTCCCGGCTCCAGTATCACAATTCGTAGGTTACTCCGGTATCGGAGGGGGGGGGGTTGAAATATTAATAAGACTTACTGGAGTTTGAAGTGAGTTCTAAGTCTGTGCATGTTAATAAAACTTACTGGAGTTTGAAGTGAGTTCTAAGTCTGTGCATGTAAGCAGGAATTGGTAATATCCCATCAGCTCCCAACAGAGCTTTGTTCTGAAAAAGCGAAACAGAAAACGCCACACCTGTGAAAGTAAGGAGTTATGTTGCTATGGTGTTGCTATGACTGGTGTTGAGTTCAACATCTTACCGTGTTAAAGTACCAATAATATTCAACATAACTTCTATGTAGCATAAGTAGTAAGTACTTACAATAAATTAAGGCGAGCGACCGTAAGAAAATAATTCTAGTCAACCAGAACCCTCGTAATTCCTGCGTTTTTTCCTCTGGTTCATTTTCTTTCTTCACCTCCGTAGCCATTCTACCTTTAGTGGAACTGCATTAACTTCTTATCAGGAAAAACTGGTTGGATGATCCGTGGTTTAAACTTACATATTATCTGTAAAAATCCGGTTTCTTAACAATGGAGGTTCAGTATAATATAGGAGATGTAAAATAAATAATACGGTGGGGTGGTAGTCTTCATAAATCAGTAGAATATGTTAAACTTACAGAATATATTAATCAAAAGAGTGGGGTGATAGTGGGGTGGGGTGATAGTCTTCATAAATCAGTAGAATATGTTAAACTTACAGAATATATTAATCAAAAGAGTGGGGTGATAGTGGGGTGGGGTGATAGTCTTCATAAATCAGTAGAATATGTTAAACTTACAGAATATATTAATCAAAAGAGTGGGGTGATAGTGGGGTGGGGTGATAGTCTTCATAAATCAGTAGAATATGTTAAACTTACAGAATATATTAATCAAAAGAGTGGGGTGATAGTGGGGTGGGGTGATAGTCTTCATAAATCAGTAGAATATGTTAAACTTACAGAATAGATTAATCAAAAGAGGTGGGGTGATAGTCTTCATAAATCAGTAGAATATGTTAAACTTACAGAATAGATTAATCAAAAGAGTGGGGTGATAGTCTTCATAAATCAGTAGAATATGTTAAACTTACAGAATAGATTAATCAAAAGAGTGGGGTGATAGTCTTCATAAATCAGTAGAATATGTTAAACTTACAGAATAGATTAATCAAAAGAGGTGGGGTGATAGTCTTCATAAATCAGTAGAATATGTTAAACTTACAGAATAGATTAATCAAAAGAGTGGGGTGATAGTCTTCATAAATCAGTAGAATATGTTAAACTTACAGAATAGATTAATCAAAAGAGGTGGGGTGATAGTCTTCATAAATCAGTAGAATATGTTAAACTTACAGAATAGATTAATCAAAAGAGTGGGGTGATAGTCTTCATAAATCAGTAGAATATGTTAAACTTACAGAATAGATTAATCAAAAGAGTGGGGTGATAGTCTTCATAAATCAGTAGAATATGTTAAACTTACAGAATAGATTAATCAAAAGAGTGGGGTGATAGTCTTCATAAATCAGTAGAATATGTTAAACTTACACAATAGATTAATCAAAAGGTGGGGTGATAGTCTTCATAAATCAGTAGAATATGTTAAACTTACAGAATAGATTAATCAAAAGAGTGGGGTGATAGTGGGGTGGGGTGGTAGTCTTCATAAATCAGTAGAATATGTTAAACTTACACAATAGATTAATCAAAAGGGGGGGTGATAGTCTTCATAAATCAGTAGAATATGTTAAACTTACAGAATAGATTAATCAAAAGGGGGGGTGATAGTCTTCATAAATCAGTAGAATATGTTAAACTTACAGAATAGATTAATCAAAAGAGTCCTCTTAAAAGTTAAAATTATCTCAAAATTAAAGGTGTTTAATTTCTCAAGGGGTATAAAACAAATTTCAAGTCGTACGAGGTCAATGAGTAAGAAAATCCTCAATCAGATGTGGAATTCAAATTGGCCAGCAGCCAAGTGACAGTTGGCCAGCAGCCAAGTGACAGTTCTCTGAATTAGCATATTTGTTCGACATCACGTGAACTAATATTCGATAAGCAATGTGAACTATTCGCAAAATCTGTCTTTTTGTGTGTGTGTGTGTGTTTCACAAATCATAACACGGTAAATTCCCTGACAATCATTATAATATACACTGTACAATGCCAATATAAAACTCTTTGTAATATTATATATCGATAACATACACTCAAAACATTCAATTCATTGTTTCCAGCCCACTTTATCACGGTGGTATCCCTACCTATGGTTACTAGGTTACTAGGTTACTAGGTTACCAGGTTACTAGGTTACAATGTTACCAGATTACTAGGTTACCAGGTTACCAGGCTACCAGGCTACTAGGTTACCAGGTTACTAGGTTACAATGTTACCAGATTACTAGGTTACTAGGTTACTAGGTTACTAGGTTACCAGGTTACTAAGTTACAGCCCACTTTATCACGGTGGTATCCCTACCTATGGTCATGATCAGCTTGATAACCGTGAAGATGCCTGCTTGTAAATCTCTCCACAGGTGCAATATGTGTAGGTACATGGCTTTATAAGCGCGGCTGATATGGAAGTGTGCTGTCTTGATGCTGAAATCTTTTAAAGCCACGCTGCAACACACGTGACACGGTAGGCTTCTAGTCTCAGGCAGAATGTACATTCAATCATTTTGTTTTCAAGTAAATACTCAAAGATTCCAGCGAGCTATAAAGTCGTGGCGCAAAAAAGAGTTCCATGTTAGTTACACTTACAAAGGGTAACTGACCATCTATTGCAAATCTCGATCTCTGACATTTCAACGTCAGTTTCCAGACCTCATTATAATAGAAGCAAGGAAAGAAGAGCAGTCTAACACAGATTACTTGGCAGCCTGATAATCAGATTCCTGTTCGTTTAGGTTCACGTCCACATAGCTTAGGTTCACGTCCACATAGTTTAGGTTCACGTCCACATGTTCACATAGTTTAGGTTCACGTCCACATAGTTTAGGTTCACGTCCACATGTTCAGCCCACACTGGGGCCCACACGCGGGAGCTCCCTAAATAGGTCACGTTTGGGAGGGCTCACTCCCAATCTTATCATCGTTCTCACTAGATATGTACACTATATTTCTATAGGGGGTGAGAAGGACCACATTGTTATGATAAGGAGTGGTTATTGAAATGTTGTTGTAGTCGGTGAAGTTGCGGAGTCTGAAGAGAGTGCAGCAGTACACAATCACAGATAGCTCTAACATCTCCTTTAGTAACACTCTCGTCCATTCGTTATACCTGCGAGGGGATTGGTATAGAAGCTTCTCATTCAGATTGGTGTTGGGAAGCCAATTAATGTTGGGATGATTTAGCCATTCCTTTGTGTCAACGTAAATAAATTGAAATATATTTCTTCCTATATGGACATTGGACATCAAGTGGTGTGCTTTTGAAAGCTTAACATTTTCAAAAATTGATAGAGATCGAAAATAACATAACTTACACTAAAAGAAAGGATGCGACGGACTCAACTACGATGAGCACACACGGCAGTCCTATGATCAACCCTTGAAGATAATTGAACATTCTTAACTTTTTATTCAATCGCTTCTTTAATGTTATCTGAAAATATATGATGACGGAACTGAGTTACCCTCCGTCCGTCAATCTAAGAAAAGTAAATTAAACAAAAGTAAAGTATTAAGAAAAGTTACCTCTGACTTGTAGGTTAGTCTGTGATTATCAATAAACTGATTGCTTGCGATTATGTTCCGTTTTACTGTGTTTATTGATATTGTGGTACATTTAAAGGCGATGTATATCATCATGCTTGCAAACACAATTGCAAAACCCTGAAACAACTTAAATGAGTTCGATATAGATTGACAGTCCTCGTGAATCAATATGAACACTTTAAATAAATAAAAAAGCACTGCACAGATTTGAAATATGTGTCTATGAAACTGACCCTTCGGTAAATAGAAATAGACTCACTTGAAAGTACTTATGAACATATTTGTAACATATGACCATGAAGAAGAATGACGTAGAAAGGACGAGGTAGTACTTGAGAAGCCGCGGATTCTCCCAAATTATACACCAACCTTCTCCCGCAAGCATAAGAACTATGAATATCATAGTTTCAAAAACACTCGTACACAGAATAAAAGGCAGCGATATCTGCAGAGACCATCTACCTGCAACAATAAAGAGTGAGTAACTTATATAAAGATAAATACCATTTACTAGCGGGAATTACGGGTATAAGACTTAGTAGACATAGTAGCGGCAAAATCGGATAACTCGCGGAAGCTAATAATAGCTATCGGAAGGCTGACGGTATTTCTCTTAAACTTCTTCAGGGTGAGCACCTTCAATCTGTGCCATACTGCATTCTATAAAGCACAGCTATTCTCGCCAAAAGCAGTGGATAGTGTAGTTACCGCATAGCAGTGTACCGAATTGAAAATGTGTGAAATAGGTTACAAATGTTGAATCGTCCTATATAGAGTTCGCCAGTTACCCTTAAGCTTTCGTGGGACTAAAATCAGCTAATATGACGTGTGAACGTGCCCTGACGGGAATGGAACTGCCATAATCATACACAGGATACATGCATGCAATTATTTAGCAATTAAACGCGCGCGTGTACGTGCTTGCGCACTTTAGAATATCGTTCGCGCGGATTTATGCAAAATAATTTGATCGCGCGTTCCAGCTTTCAATGTGTGTAGACCTGCTCAGCCTCCCAGATCAAAACAAGATGCCCGAAATAGGAAAACACAGATACATGTATAATACCTCACGAGAGATATTGACAGGACGCACTTACTCGGATATTTAAACGCATACCTTTGCCATCCAGTTCTTTCCAGAAGATATAAGCCAATATCAAGTTAACGAGTTTTATGATGAGTAGAGCTGACAGTAGCTTGTGCAGATTGTTTGAGTGCTGAAATTTAAACACTTGTTACGAGAGGTATCATGTTACCTGTTCTAATCTAACAGTCGCTAAAACTTGGGACGCGTGACAAAGTATGCAGCGACCAAATTAAGCATTTCACGCTCGCCAGAAAGCTACATTGTACGTAATATACAGGACGCTCTCTCGGTCTCTCGCCTGTCTTTTCATCTTACGATTAACCGACGTAACTTACATACCAACGCACAAGAAAACTATGTGGTCTTGAATTACATCAAGTCTTGTGTCATGCCTCTCACAGATATCACTTATATGATACGTGGTAATATTGAAGTACCGTGTTCACAGGCCTAGTGAGGCCTCGTGCTGCCTTACCGTTCCCCCTAACAACAACACTTAACAACACTTACCGTTCCCCTTAACAACACTTAACAACACTTACCGTTCCCCTTAACAACACTTAACAACAACATTTAACAACACTTAACAACAACACTTAACAACACTTAACAACACTTAACAACAACACTTAACAACAACACTTAACAACAACACTTAACAACAACACTTAACAACAACACTTAACAACACTTACACTAACATACTCCTTGGAATGGTGGTATACCGTTCCCCCTAACAACAACACTTAACAACACTTACCGTTCCCCTTAACAACACTTAACAACACTTACCGTTCCCCTTAACAACACTTAACAACAACACTTAACAACACTTAACAACAACACTTAACAGTTACACTTAACAACACTTAACAACACTTAACAACACTTAACAACAACACTTAACAACACTTAACAACAACACTTAACAATAACACTTAACAACAACACTTAACAACAACACTTAACAACACTTACACTAACATACTCCTTGGAATGGTGGTATTTTCCTAAATCCGTCTCACTATAAACAAAGGTAGGCAATTTGATTGGCGTTTATACACATTGATTTACCAGACTATTGTCTATATAATCTAACAAACATTGGTGGTATAAAATATTTACAAATCAATGATTGTCCCATTCGTCCACAATGTACAATTTACGTTATTTTAAGACCGAATCCTATGTGATAGGGACGTGTGAGATTTACCATTCAATAACAACTGGAACTAACCCTTCTAAAGCAGAGTGAGTTAACAAGCCAGAGAAAAGACAGGACCATCCAAACCACTAAAGTAACTATGTAGTTAGTGGGGATGGGTATTTGGTCGGTACTGAGATGGCTCCCACCACGGTTTAAGAGGGTAGCTTGTACCTGTGGTAGAAATGTAAATATTACCATGGTAACCGCAAAATGTTTCAAGTATCCGAGTCAGGTATAAACAAGCTTCTAGAACAAGAAAAGAATAAACAGTGTTACGCCCCCCCCCCCACTGTTACCAACCGAGCAAATCTTAACAGACGGGGTCCTTTCGTATTCCTGTTCTTTGAGGATCAACGTGGAAAACTCATCGTTTGCAACTACATCATAGAAACTGATAGTTTTTGAAGATCGTGACCATCCAATCACCTTGGGGCAGTTTGTGGAGTAGTGCACTGCTTCCAGCTGCAAGTAATTTAGTTAAATATGCGAGTAATTTAGTTAAATATGCGAATAATTTAGTTAAATATGCGAATAATTTAGTTAATATAAAACACGTATAGTAATGGGCTGGTAAATGGTGACAGGTTCAAATCAGTCTAGTGTTAGAAATTATGGTCAAGACTAAATTTTATTGGTTTTAAATTATATACTTTATCACGGCCAATAAAAAAAACAGGGTAAAAAAAGAGACATATTGTTGAGGTTCAACATAATATAATATATAAAAGCAGTTACATTTCACGCTGCTGCTAACTGACTAAAAAACAAACAAACCTACAAAAATGTATGCGTACTGTACCGAACTTACTTCATGTACACTAGTAGGGCACCTGTAGAGTACCAAACTTTTGCCTTCAGTACTAGAATTCCTTAAATCTTCTTCCTGCAAAAAATAAGTTAAATTTATACATCTGTTATTCCTTAACAAACATTTCTTATTTCATAAAAAATTCAGACATTTTCGGTCATTGTAAAAATCTAAATTGTCTGCTGTAATCGTGTAAAAACTCTTCGCTCCAGGAAGTTCACTGTTTACCAGGGATAAAACACGTTCAATCACCACAAAGTAAACAAAAGAAGAAACCCCAACTTACACAAGTGACCGTTACATTGATAGTTGCTTGAGCTTGAAAACCAAAGGCTCGTTTGTTGATTTTATACTCGACTATCTGCTTGTCAGGCTTGAGCTTTACATTACGTTGGTTGATGACGAGGCAGTGAATTTGACCGAGGATGACAGTAAAAAGAGCAAGAAGAGTCATGTCACCATCTGTACAACCATATTCTTTTGCAAAAAGTTAATGTTATGATTTTGTTACGGAATGCTTCACACATCTCCAGAGGTTTTAATAAATCATCATTATTATCAATGCAAATATAACTATTTAATAACTATTATTATCAAATAACCATAACAACCCATACAAAGAGCCAAAGTGGCATCTCAGGGGCGTAGCTATGAAAATATCGCTAAATTAGGAGCTCTGTTCTTAGTGACGTGACCACATTCTCTCTTACTAAGGGGTCGTTCACATATTACGTAATCAGCCGAGCGAGGGGGGGGGGGTTTTCAAATGCTTACGGTTGATTACGGGGGGGGGGGGGGGGGGTGGGGGGTTTGGTCATTGATTACGTAATCAACATTTTAATTTTTTACCGATTTTCGAAATGACAATTGGACAATTTTCGTTAATTATGTAATCAAAATTTTCGTTTTTAAACCAATTTTCGTTTAGTAAGTGCTTTGCGATTATTTCATTGTCTAATCTTGATTACGTAATATAGGAGGGGGGTTGGGTCTTGATTACGGGGGGGGGGGGGGGGGGGGGGGGTTGGGTCAAACCTTGATTACGTAATATAGGGGGGGGGGGGGGGTTCGGTCTTGATTATGGTTGACTACGGAGGGCCGGAGGGGGGGGGGGGGTAAAAATTGCCAAAATATTGATTACGTAATATGTGAACGACCCCTACTTACTACTACTACTCTCCATAGACCTGACAACGCTTGAGGGCTAAAGACACATGTCAACTTTAAATACTTTAGGTAGATTAACGCGATCATCAATCACAAAGTATATTAAATTTAGAATATTACGGCCATCTTTATTTTAGAACTTTAGTTCACATATTCAAGTAGGGATGGAAAGCACACAAACATTCTGTATCTAGTACAAAAAAGATATTTCTGAACTTTCGCAATTCCTTTTGGCTGGCGATCATTATCCGAATTACAGGGAAGATTATAGTCCGAGGAAAACTATTTTCATTGTTAGATGTTTGAAATTTCATAAATTTACATATTATTATGATATTACACTCTTCAGAATAATCAAGATCCGGGTAGAAAACGCATAACTTAATAATGAATATAAACAGAATAGCAATTTCAATAAAATTAATACCAACAGTATCTTCCGAAACATCGCAACACGGCAGCTAAAATAAAATTCTTAAATATTTACCCCAATTAAAAATGAATACAAAGTTTAAACATTCCTTTAATCGTAGTTTCACAGTTCCGATCTATCCATAACGGGACCACTAAAGGTACTCTGAGTTCCCACAAACAATATAACCCCACTAGCCCTATCACGAAGTGTATATAAAAACGGTACATTCAAGTGAAGTTTAATAGGCTCTGGACCGATAGGGGCGGAGCGGGTCAAGCGCATGACGCTGGCAGTGGCGCTGGCAGCTTCACATCCATCTTCATCAACTGATATAAAGGTGTTGTGGAGTACTTCACTTAGTGTTAATTCTCTTTTACCTGGGGGAAACAACTTTACTTAGTGTTAATTCTCTTTTACCTGGGGGAAACAACTTTTATATTTTTGTAAAATTAATTTGTTGTTGAAACTACAAATTTTTGTTTAATAAATAGTTTTATGTTTGCGGACCCGTAGTAAATTACGAAAATTTCAGGCACGATAGAACATTAGGACAGTAGTTAAACGTAATTATATGCAAATAAGTATTACGTATAATACAATATTATATATAATATACATAGATATATCGAGAACAACCTCACAGTCAGGCGAAGTAAAAACATAACGTCAAGAGGTCACATTTAAACAGTTAAATTAAATATAATTATAATAAACAATCTTTACCCGTTGAGGTCATCTTTGAGAAGTCAGCGAGTCTATCATCAAACAGATGACTTAGCCCCAGGGTTACAAGCTGTTCTTTTAGAGAATATTTACTCTTTACAAGGAACTTTGGTAAGTTTAGCTCCACCAGTTCATAAGACATCTCCTGGTAAGAACTTTCCAATTCTTCCTGAGAAAGACAATATTATATTATTATATTATTATATTATTATTTTGTTATTTGAACTACATTCATACTAGCTACTAGTATAAATGTACGTAGGACAAATGAAGTAAATATTGCATTGATAAACGGACGTTTTGGCAATTTGTAACCTTGTATTTTATATACTGAACCCACGCTCACACATAGATAGGGGGTGGCACGTCCGCCAATGTCCGGACATGTCACACCCCCCCCCCCCCCCCCCCCCCCCCCCCCCCCCCCCGGCCCCCCTCCATATACAACAACTATCCCAAATCTCACGTGGTTAAGGAGACTAGTTAAGAGAGCCTTCAGACCATGTTTCGGTTTGTACAGAACCATTTCCACTTCACTGTCTAGAAATTGTAGCGCAGCACTTTGAAATTCTTCAGTTTCTGAAATATTGTATAACTATTGTGAGAACGGACAACCCCCTCACTACTTCACTGTTACTTTAGTAGGTTCGGATCAATTAGTTTGGTGTTCTGAGATAGACTATTTATGAAACTGCCATATGATGGTTGCACACTCCACGAACAAAGCCTGCCGAAAACTAAAATTTGCTATACTCAATTTACAAATCACGTGACTAATACAGTAATACTATAACCCAAACATCAATCTCTTAAACCAAAACAAAACTAAGGACACCAAAATATATCTTATTAACAAAAGTTCGCAGATGCCATAGACAAAACATTACTGTTAAACTATGCTCAATCCTAACTATCCGATAACCAAAGAAACTCCACTACCACTACCGCCCTTATCTAACGCCAAACTGAACTTATCTAAAACTACTGCTTACACTATTATACCGTACTACCTCACACAAAAGTAAACAAACAAAAGACTTAAATTACAACTTATAAATTTCTCTAAATGTTATCTTACTATATATAGTAAGATAACATTTAGAGATATATAGTAAGATAACAATTCTCGCTTTATATATATATTTATATATATCTCGCTTTATAAAGCGAGACGATATAACCGAGGGGTTCTGTTCAAGCCCTTCACACTTTGTTTCTGTCTAGTTCTAATGTACCGTCACAATAGTGAATTTAATATTATATATTATATATGTATAATATATATATATATTATCCGAACCATTTTACTGACACCACGGCATCAACTTTAACACGACTTTCCGCAAAAACCGTAAAAGATATACTTTTGAAACGTTTTTTGGCTGGGTCGAATGCTTTTATGGCCTTTTGGTCAGTATAAAGAAATAAAAAATTGGCCAAGGAATAAATAAGTTAGGTCCCAAAAAATGGATCCCAAGGTGTCAAAATCAGAAATTAAATAAATAAAATTGGCTAATTTCTTAACGTCTCCTGACTTCTTGACACCACTTTAGACTTTTAGAGAATCACGGGTTCCTGCTAGTTGGAAAATATTGTATAACTATTCTATACTACCTCACCCAAAAATAAACAAACAAAAGACTTAAATTACAATTATAATCTCTAAATGTAATTGGAGGAACGCATTGGCTGGATGAAAAGATCCTCATAAATGGGATAAATATAATGAACTGCAGTACCCCTCTGCTGAATGAGAGAAAGCATAAGTCTGTTTTGTGTCTGATTAGTAAAATGGGATTGAATTATTTCCAATCGTGCCTTTCTTTATTATAGTGACACAAAACTGGCTAAAAAAGTGCTAAAAGGCGTACCAAGCACATAATATTATATACACATATTAATATATCAATATAATATGAATAGGAATTCTCAGGATTTCTCCCAGTCTCGAATTTTTGTGTTCAGCCCAACACACAATGCGTACATTAATATATTACAATGATATGATGTAGATTGTAGTGAGGATGTACGAGAGAGCACTTGTACAATACTGCATCATGTTGCTCGGCTCGACGCACATGTTTTAAAACAAAATATCAAGTATGCAAGTGCGAGAAGCACAGAAAAATTGCCGCTAAGTGGTCGCTTATTACCTGTTATTTGTGTTGATTGCGTTACTCAACAATTTCTTAACTCCCACACAGTGTTTTTCATTCTTCTTGCATTTTTAGCATTGGTAGTCAAGTCAGTTTTTTCTTGTGAATGGTAATTTGTCGTAAACTTGATGAAATGTTCGGTATTTACACTAAGATTTTAGATTAACTCGATTACCTTTTTAAAATGTTTAAAAGGTGACAACAAACAAATTATGAATCCGGATATATACTGCTTGATATTTTCGCTTTCTTTAGATATTTTAAATCTGAATATGTTACCATTTTTAAAAAGAAATGTGGAATTATGTAATTATAACCTAATTCTACAGTTGTGTAGCACGATGGAGTCAGAGTATCAGGTGAAATATCCGATGTGGATAGCAGGAAAGGGCGAGTACGTAGCCACCAAAGAGAAATCTAAGTTGCTAGCATACGCCAGCAAATGCCACACTCCTATATTTGGAGAGCCGGCTCCAAAAGAAGCCGCAGTAAAAAAGGAACCTAAACTACCAGCAAGTGATTATGTGGCTAACCACGAGAAAAAGAAGTTGCTAGCCTACGCCAGCAAATGTCACACTCCCATCTTCGGAGAGCCGGCAATTAAAGCAGATCCAGTAAAGGAGGAGGCTGCACCACTAGAGAGGGTCGCTACTAACCCCATACTCAGGGGTGTACCGGAGGTAAAGAGCCAACATAAGAAGAAGAAAACCACCTGGACACCGTCAGCTAGCAAGGTAAAGATGCGAGCCAGGTCTGCTTCACCGCAGAAACACACCAGGAAACCTATCTATCATAGAGAGATTAGGTGCGTTAGGGGTGTTAAAAGAAAAACTGGAGTGAGTCTATCAATGGGCTCGTCAGCTTATCTAAAACTATTGTGCAATGTTGACAATGTGAGACCGGTAAATAGAGGAATCTCAAACTTCGGGAAGTAGGAATTGAGATAATTGTATAACGATCTTATAGTCATAATTATCTTACAAGCATCTTAACTGGTGAGCTATTATTGAGCCAGGAGCCGTTGTGTCAATGTAAGATATAAGTTATAACTTATAACTTTATAACTTAATCAAGTTATTTAACAAATTATAATAATGAATCACACTTGATAGTTTATAGTGATGAATTTTAAGGCCGGCGTAATTTTATGCTCTATCTTTTTATGTGGACTATCATTAACATTTTTTTGGCGAAGATTATTTTTATAATTTCAGTATAATATTTTATAGAAAAAGGAGTTTGGTATTGTTTTTATTCTGACTAAAATCACTTTTTTCAGAGTTGCGCGGAAAAATGTGATTGATATCAATGTTAAGAGAAACGAATATTCAACAATTAGTTAGTTTTTAAGAGTTTCAATTCTGATAATTAGTCGCTAGCCCGGTAATATAGCGTCGAGATAAAAATGAAGTTCGGACGAAGTAAGATAATTATCATTCGATTAACTCTAATCAATTTAAATTAGTGTCATAAAGAATTCAGGCACACTCTTGAAGGTCACGTACACACGTACACACGTACACACGTACACACTTGGTACAGGGCTGACTAAAGTCTAAACTACAAGAATTATAAAATATAAGATGGTAAACTGATCAACAGTGCATAACAGTTACTGAGCTGCAGCTGCTTGGAACTTAATAATATGTATTAATACAGTAACTACTGTAAACCCAGAATTTACGGTACACTAGTTCAGTAAATCTCACTTTTGATTGTCAAAGTTAGAGCACTCTCTAGTATCTAGAACATAACAAGATAAACCAGCCGTGGTTACTGTAAACAAATATCTGGCTTTTCAAAATATACCACAATTAATTAAGGTACCTAAATATCGGAGATGTGTCTCGAGCTGCATGGTAGGCACTGTCACGTGACGGAGGCCCCCTGTCACGTGACTGAGGCCCCCTGTCACGTGACCCCCTAGGTAGAACTCTCGGTCTGTTGTCCTGTGCTTGGGAAACTTGTACTTCCAAACAGCTTTAAAGTAAAGAGTATTCACTAGAACCATCCTTGTTTCTTCTGTTATCACATCTGAAATTATTGTAGTTCATACTATTAATTAATGCGTTTTTTAGGATTCATAATATGTTTTCACTTTGTATTAGACATACTTTATATTACTAATACTATCATACTCAGATATTTATACTATTATATATACTATATCTCTAGTATTGCTGGTAAAAGATCAACGTTACACGAGCTACATTGTACTATATCAGCAGCTCATTACATATTATATTATCAAGCTTACACTACAATAATTAAACTTACAATACTTAAATTACAACTGTTCAAAGCAGAATATTACCTTTTGAAAGAAGGTTAGATATTTTACCGTTCGTCTCTTTCTCCACCTGACTGAGGAACTTTGATTTTATCATTAATGGATTGTGGGGAATTAATTCAGAAAGTGAGAGGGTTGCTTTGAGGGGGGGGGGGGGGGGGGGGGGGTGTCCGGGACAAATGTTGAAAGGTACATAATATCTTCTATAATGTCAAATAATGTTCTTCAAATTAGCACTCAAACAGCGCTACCATGTGTTACCATGTGCTACTATGTGCTACCATGTGTTACCATGTGTTACCATGTGCTACCATGTGCTACAAGTGTTTCTGGGAGCAATACGCACAGCAGATTATACTGAACAAGGTATTTTACACGCCAAGGCTCTGTTTGCTTCTGTCAATCTAAAAATTGGCAAATTTCAGACAGAGGAAAATTCCAAGCTCGTAATTAATTTGTCGGGCTTTATTACGGCTAAATTAATTTCCTGTTGCCTGGCAACAGTTGCTGTCTCACCCAAGAATTAATCAAAGGTCGACACTGTATTATTATGTCTCCATAATATAGCTTATTTCTTAAAACTACGGTCCAGACTATCATGGGTCACATACACAATATTATATATAGGATAAATAGTTCCGTACTGGACTACAAACCCACTACTACAGAGATCTATTAATAGATTTATAACGGTTAGATCTGTAATGGTTCTCCCACAATGGTCGGTATAATTCGTAGAAGTCTAGAAAGTATCATAGCCTTAATAACTGGATTAGTTCCAAATACTTAGAGAAGCTGTCGAGTGTCGAGGAATAATAATAATATCTTGAGACTCTCATAGGTAGGATACTTATTACATAGATGACAGCAAGCTCATTATGTATTAAAAATCAGCTGCAAGATATTAGCTACCTGTGAGACACGCATATAATACGGTTCGACCTACTACTATACGAAATGTTTAAACTTGGGGATTTTTCGATATATTATATATAATATATATCTCTTCGTTGACCAACATTTTGGCTACCGAATCCTTCAGGGTATTTTTCGTACTTAAAACTTTTATACATAGGGCGATAAACAAATAAACATACCACAAATAATTGCATAAGTTATTGGATGAATGGATGCATCATATTAAAGTAATAACGGACTATACCTGTTCAATTCAGCAATAATCTGACTTAGGTTTTCGTCTTCAAAGTTAACAGCTACCACATATAATTGCATAAGTTATTGGCTGCATCATATTAAAGTAATAACGGACTATACCTGTTCAATTCAGCAATAATCTGACTTAGGTTTTCGTCTTCAAAGTTAACAGCTATCAACGCATAATCCAAATGTTGCTTTGAAACATTCTCAAAGTCATCTGCTAGCTTGGTCTTGTGATGATGGAATATCTTGTTCGTTATTCTCAGTACACAGTTCTCTGTGGACCTTATCAAACCCTGAAAACATTGTCATCTCACTGACACTACTAAAAGGAAGCTAATGACTTAATAAACGACAGTAGTAGTAGTAGTAGTATAGACTACAAATCGTGCAACGTAAAGACCAACACATCAAATATTGGATGGATCCTGTCGTGCAAGAAATATCATAATAAAAAGTCTTATACAATATTTATTAGTATATTTAATATTGCTACTTTTGATCACTTCAATTCAGCACTATTACACACAATACTGTACTAAGTAATGAGTGTTAAGCAGTGTTATTACAGCTGACAGCACTATTACACATTACGGTGATTGTAATCTAAACGATGACAGTATGAAAACGTAAATTATAATGAGCAGTTTAAAAAAGCTAACAGAGTTAATCTTTTGCAGCTGGAGATGGGGGAGATGAGGAGGGTGGAGTAACTGTGATATTTGGGAGTGAGTGCTCCCTCCAGCTCCCGCTAGTAGGGAGTGTAAACCGCTTCCTACACAGTACGGGGAGAACACTGCATTAACTTCTCCTGTAACACAAACAATTAATGCTTAATTTAATTCAGTAGTTCATTTGTCAGTTTAAGAATGTGATTTATTTACGAAATTTGGAATCTGATCCGAGCAAAAGTCGACAAGAAAGCAATGCTACGATACAAATATAAGTAGTACAGTAAACAGATCATTGATTAAAATTGATTAGATTTTAGAGATTTGGGTTGAATAAAACCTTCCTCAAGTACGTTATGAAAAAGTCTCAATCCAGCGTTGTTTATTCCACTAGTGATTGAGTTGGTGGGGGGAATCAGCTGGAACAGAAACAGGAAATATAACATGCTACCTGAAAGATAATCGATTTATTAGTAAATGTAATTTTAGTGATGGTTCTAGAACCTTTAAACTGACAATCATAAGATCTGAAAAGAGGGTATACATACTGTATTATAGCTTTTAACAAAACTATTTTTCTACTCCACTTTTAAGTGAAAATGTATTGGTATAATATATTATATTTCATATGATTTAGAAGTGCTCAGAATAATTGCTGTGCATATTTACTTAGATGAGGAATTTGACACACTCTTGACCTGACACAAGAATTTGCTACAAAATATGTCGGAAACTGTAATTATTAGAGTTGTGTGCTCAATTTTAGAATGCTATATTTTCTATGTGCCAGCAATGCAAATAATTGTACCAATAGAAAAAGTTCACATATTTCATCACATTAAAAATCTTATAAATCATTAAGAGGGTCATAAATTAATAATTTAACAAAATCATTTCTTCGTTTCCAAAAAATACCTTATCATACGACATACGATACAAATTTGCATTTAACCAGGATCTGAATATTTCCATGTTCAACTAGGTGTTACGCACACGCACATTCGATTGACATAACAAAGAGTTTAATATGACTACAAATTCTGAGGAATCTTAGACTATTTATCGACCAAGCATATTTCTTGCAATGATAAAAGCTGCTTTGGTGATATCACCGACATTGCTTAACTCTTTTTCAAGTTCCAGACGATTTTCTCCCATTTTCTCCAAATCTGCTAGTCTTCTATCTAGGAATGCCCACGTCTCAGTAAAATCAGGACTTTCGTCTTGTATCATGAAAAGTTCTGTCATACTGTAAACAGCAGCAACAGTGGCTCTACGAGTGTACCAGTTTATGTCAGTAGATTTATCTCCAGCATAAAACCAGATGTCATCAATGAAACGGGCATATTGTTCTGAAGCCCTTGGAATTACCTTAGGATCAACAACAAGTGCCAGAGCTTCTGCCCAACGATCATAATAGGGAAGCTGCAATTCAAGCCTAGTTTTAATGGCATCTTTTAAGAAATGGGCAATTGGGGGTGGTTCACTTCCAGGAATTCGATCATCTTGCTGTTGGGCCATCATATCCTCAAGCTCCTCATTTAATGTTTTATCATAATGCAAGGCTATTTCTACACCTCCAAGATTAAACATGGAGTTGCACGCTTCGGAGAGTCCCATATCTGCTATACCCAGTTTCAATGATGTGTCTGACCATCCATGATTTTTAACATGCTTCAGAGAGGCCTCAAGGATATCATATTTTACATCTTCTCCTTTTTCTGAATTGTGGGTTTGAACTGAGCGAATCACACTCTTTGATGAACAGTTTTGACTCTTAATATTTTTGTTAAGTGATGAGTAATTCCGTACCAATCTTGGAAGATGCTGTGAGGTACAGACTTGGCAGCTTTTCATCCTCAGCAACCATTGCGTACCAAACATTCCTAACAGAGGATTATAAGTAAATCAATTCAAATAAACTGAAAATAGAATTTATCTGTAACCAGAATTTCACAATTAAACAGTATGCATGAATTGCAAAATGCAGGTCAATACATCTTATTGTACCATATTCATTAACTTATAACTTATTACATACTATGTGTTTTGATTTTATGTCCTTAAGGCTTAGAAGGGTATTCTTCTAACAGTTTTTATGAAAACAAATTAGGAAAACAAATTTAAATTTTGGTATTTATTAATAACAATCAAAACATATCATATCATAAAAATAAAGCCGCGCGTTGGTTGACTGCCTCATTAAGGTAAATATTTTAAGCTTGAAGGTGCCCTGCGCATTACAGAACCTCATGCAGGGCTGACTTAAATGTCCTGCACAGCAGTTTGAAGCTTCTTTAAATTATTTTTATTCTTATTGTATTGCTGTGTAAATTTAATTCTAATCCTAATTCTAATAGTTGTTGGATACCTTTAGGCAACATCCAGTATGTCTTTTATGTGAGAAAAATAACAAAACCTTGAATCTTTCATTCAGTAACTAGTTGGTCACTGAAATATCAGTTACCAACTAGAACTATGTTTCAGGTCTGTTAAGATGACACCAAAATGTGGTGAAATAAGTTTTACCATCAAGCCCTATAGGAGGAGGAGAGTCAGGGCAGAAAAGATATCTGACACTGATTTTGCGGATGACATTGCTCTGGTAGCGGATACTGTAAAGGAGGCAGAGACACTGATGCAAGAGGTACAAAGGGTTGCTGCTACAGTGGGACTTAAAATGAATGAAGGTAATTAACCAAATCCATTACTCAGAACATCAAGAATCCTGATACAACCAAGTCCCTGGGTAACAGCACAATAGAGCATGTGGCACAATTTTTCTAGAACTTAAGTTAAGTTTTTCAACCAATTTTAAACATTCAAACGACGATTTGACGATTTAATCGACTCAAATTGTACAGACCGAGACCCACAGAGTCTTTGACCCCTTCGCCTATGTTTATCACGGGTCGGATCCTCCTGGCTTGCCAGAAAGACCTTTTAATTTAATCCAAAAGTAAGCATCTTACAACTTAACTTAATTAACATTAACAATGCAGTACATCCGGTGAAACAGTATATATACATTCAATTAAATCAAGTGATGCAATTGGCAGAGCACAATCAAATTTTAATTGTTGCAATTGGCAGAGCACAATTCATTGCTACCAATAATTTTTTCAAAAAACATTTTAACAAAACACATGATCTACTCCATTATAGGGGCAGGGATGAGATTGTATGAAACTTCTGATAGCTGAATCTCACGTTTGGTGTCCACCTTCTTTCCTCGGTACCCTCGTAGAGCAATAAGAGTTGTTCTCAACATTGCAAATCTTATCCTAGTTCTCACGTGTCTCACTACATTGCAGTACCTCTCCTTCCTTTTTCTTGCAATGAGGTCTGCTACTCTGTAGTCAGGGTGAAAAGTCAGGGTAAGATGTGCTGACAGCAGAAATTGAACCCAAAAATACTCAGAAGCCATACCCTTTGATTTTTTATTGACGTTGTACTGTAATTTTGAATTTCCCACCCACAACACCCCCACCCTCCATCCTTTACACCACTACATCACATATAAGCATTGTCCACCACATCACCTTCAGCTGACGACGATTAACACATGTTTAATGAAAGCTTCTACAAGATAAACTATCGTATCACTTATATGTTTTTAACCCAACTCCATTCACATTTGATTATCTCAACTCGCTTAGACCCAAAAGTGGTTTAATAGAACCACAATGTGTAATAAACACAGTAATTTTGTGAAACACAATATTTACAGGTTTGAAACCATTAACCTTTATATATACAAACAACAAAACAATCAAATAAATTAGTGAAAAGGTCAAAATAGACATTTATTTGATCAAATTTATGGCGGCTATTAAATGGATGCACAATTAAGTGAGTCTCAAAGCAGCAATCTTCCAGGGAAAACAAATTTAGGAAAACAAATTTAAATTTTGGTATTTTTTAATAACAATCAAAACATATCATATCATAACAAGAATTGCGCCCGTTGTTTCGTTTTGGCGGACGCTAGATTTCCATTTCACTATAACTATTAATATAAGCTCTAATCAGCTCACCTTATAATAATAATATTGAAACATCAGTAGACTACGCGTGCCACATTCAAGTTGGGCTTATTACAAAATACTATACATTACTAGTACTATAGACAACTTTCCAATCAAAAAGGTTTCATCCGCAAAATTTCTGGGTGTTATAATTGACGAGAACCTATCATGGGAAGATCACATCAAAGCACTTAAGCGAACTCTAAATCATTCCACATCCACTTTATGTAGACTTCGCTGCTCCCTTCCAGAATTTCTACACCAACAATTATATTATACCCTGTTCGAATCACATCTTTCCTACTGTATATCTGTATGGGGTGGGGCAGCGAAACAACGTATAAGCTCATTATTTACTGCTCAGAAGTACTGTCTCAGAGTACTATTTGGTGACAGGCTGACGTACCTTGATAAGTTTAAGACTTGTGCACGTACTAGGCCTATAGGACACCAGAAACTTGACCAAAAATTTTTCATAAAAGAGCACACCAAACCGATATTTAAGCATAATAATATTCTAGCTATACAAAATCTCTATACATACCACAGTTACCTCGAGCTCTACAAGATAATGAAATTCCGTGCTCCAATATCCTTACATGAAGGTTACACGTGTTCCTCGAGGAAACCCTGCCTTCTAATCTGTCAGGCAGACCCACCTGACAATCACAACACTAGATCAACCAAAATTTTTAACATTTTAACCCCAAAATTCAGAATGACTGACTTTACTACTAGTGTAATGTGCTTGCGAGGTAAGCTAAAACGTGCGCTATTAACGAATCAACATAATCACGCCCTGCTTGATTGGACTGTCAAAGATTTTGACTGCGCAAATCTTATTTCCCAAACATTATAACTGGCTGGTCACACACATCTCAATTAAAATTACCCTAGGCTACTGTTTTCCAAGTCTTGTCCTGTGAGTAAAGTATGTGTGAGAAAGTTTTAATAAAATTATTGTATATTTACTTTTGAATTTAAAAAATCTAATTTGAGAATGAAGTTTAAAGAAATTTTAATTAGCACTGTATAGTTTAAGATATTTATAGATTATTATAACCATTGATACAAAGGCCATAATCTTTCGCCAGCTCTCCAATATCGACCTTGAAAGCTTGAAGCTGCATTTTATATCCTTGAACTACGGGTATATGGCCCCCAGAATATAGGTGGCCCCCAAAATATAGGTCATGTTAGTGGATACAGTTCTAACCAAGATAAGCGATACTAATGGGATCTGTTACTGCTAGGTTGGAGTAAAACATGTAACTTATGTTTCTGGATAAAAATTTTGGACCTACATGAGGTATTTTGGTATATTTGGTCATGACAGCGAAAGATTTAAACGATGTTGTCATTTTCTAGAGGGGTAAATATCGCGAAAAATTGTCATGACAAAAATCTGTCCAACACATGCCATTAAGACTACTGGTATGAGTATAAGTATTATTTTAAGCTATCTTTTCATCGAGACATCTGCAAACTGACAATTTGGAAAAAAGTTATGGCCACCACAATTTTACGGGCCCCCAGAATATAGGTCTATACGACCCCCAGAATATAGGTTGGTCAAAAACCCTGAACATGCCCAAAACCATGCTTTGGGATGCTCTACTTGTAGCTACTAGTCTCCTGAACCCACATATCAAGTTTTATCAAAATTGGATAAAAATTGGCCGAGTTATGGGATAAAAACAAAAACCATATGCCCATATTTGGGCATACGCACCAAATTTGATCGATTTTGGTCCATAAATTGGTCTAATATCAATATTTTTGAATGAAACCAACTTTATATGGAAGGTAAGCATATATTACACATTCTCTATGATTATCAGCTCAATATCTACCTAACTGTGGATTCTGTGTTCAAATAATCGCAAAAAATGAACAAAATCGCCCATATCTCAAACTGACTTCGCTCAAAACAATAGAACTCAATAGGGTTTCAATATTTTCACATGAAATTTTCAGAATCAACGTAGAATTGTCTCATGACCTTAAGTTTTGGGACAGAATTTTGAGTTAGGCCTTTAAAAAAATTTGGCGGCCAAAAATGTCTGATTTACAGTCATTGAGGTGCACATTGTATTGATACAGATAAAAACAGCCCCCCTCAATCATATCTAGGGACACTCCTTCAATCTTATTTAAGTATTTAGTTAAGATCCCTACTAAATGAGTGCATGAAAGCTTTTTAACAAGTAAAATTAAAGATTTTACTCATTACGGGTATATGGCCCCCAGAATATAGGTTTTTAAAAAAAAATAGCGACCAAGATTCTGCATTTTCTCTGTCACCCTGAGCATTAAGGAATGTGGGGTAGTGATGAGAAACAGTTAAAGAACATATGCTGAAGAGATGGCATCATCAAAATGTATGAAGGTGGAGTATTTGAGGACGATTTTTGCATACCTATATTCTGGGGGCCGTAGTTTTTGATTTTTTGCTATTAAGTATACTCTAAACCTTTTCAATTTAGTATCTGGAGCCATTGGCATCATCAATACAGTCTCAGCAACATATTCTGACTGCATATAACTGTCTGTGACAATTTTAGAACAACTTAGGAACAGATGTTTGGACCTATATTCTGGGGGCCCTGTTAAAAAATGGTATTTTTACAGGTGAAAAAAAAGTACACTTAAAAACCTAATAATTATTTTCAACTACCCAAGAAACATTTAAAGGGTTATTATGTACATATTTACAGCCCTAAACATGCTTAGAAGTAGTTTTAACACCTGTTTCTAAGTGCTCAAAAAACGACCTATATTCTGGGGGCCATATACCCGTACACAATATAAACCAAAGAATGTTTTAGTGTAGACTTTTTGTCAC